TTAGCAATGATGGTCTGAAATTCAGTGCAACAAAAACATATCCCAAACATATGATGAGTAACAGGATATTCTCAACTTCTTCGCTGTTTTTAATCCTTCCTCTTTTGTGAAGGAAATGTCACTCAAACTGTCTTTCAATTCTTCTATTCTTTACACGTGAACCTCAGCAATAAGTAATGGGGCACTGAGTTATACAATTAATTCTGTCCTTATCTGAAATGCTAAAACCAGCGTAGTGCTGGCTCCCTATGCAATGAAGAGGTACTCAAAAGGAAAAGAACATTTCTAGTTTGCTGAAAATACACAAATGCATATTAAATCTACTAGGAACATGTTTCTAGGCAGTTTTCACAAATTTATAAGGAAAAGAGTGGTTTTTAGGACTAGGTATTTCCACAAACCAACATGATTATTTAGATGATTATGTGTGTTTGTGGCATCAGAAATAACCTTAAAAAAAAAAAACTCTGGTGTCTTCCCTATGATAGCAGAAGTCTTCCTGGTACATTTTCTGTTAAAAGAAATAAACCAGAAGATTCTTCACACCAATAAATCTCCAATTTCAAGTAAAGGTCTCTATTTTGTTCAGTTTTCTCTTTTTGTTGTTAACAGTATGCATTTCAATACATAAGAGTGTTGATGAAATTCTTATAAAACAATAATGAATTGACTTCAATGCATAATAGAACCTTTAGAAATACCTTCTACATAGTCATAATGGGAAAAGACAGTCAACTCCCAATTATTCAGGAAGTGATAACCTGAAGGATCTGGCCTGGAACTTCTACCAGCCTTTTTGATCATGCCACTGCTCATCCACAGAGAGGCAACTTGAAATGAAATGATGTATCTACCTGTCAGTGTATAGGTTACCCATAGCTCAGTGGAAGGAGGTCCAAAGCTCCTCATGGCAAAAATGTTTGGGGATCACCTGTGAATTTTATATCTCAATGGAGAGTTGACAGTCATTTACATGTTAAGAAGTACAATACTCTGACCTCGATTGGAATCAAATTAATTTAAGGCAATACTGCTCCTCAGACATTGCTGACATAAAGTGCAGGTCTCATCAGAAAAGTGACTGTAGAAGTGAGACTGTCCCAGTTTACCTCTTCCTTCTTGACTTCTCCACAATTAAATTTCAACATTTCCAACAACAGTTAAATGGCAAGCGCAACAACAGCTTTGACCCTTCCCTGTAATGATCAGGGAGCAAAGGTTCTTCCACCAGGAATTTGGATGACTTTGTGCCTCATGTAGCTTTATCAGGACAGTCTCCAGTTTGCTTCTCTCTGCCCATATTACCTATGGTGGGCTAAGGGGAAAACGGGATTCTATCAATAGGAAGATAAGCAGTTATGGCTTTAAGACTCACAGGCACCACCAGATGTGAAGAGAAAATGGGACCATTTATCTAGTCACTTCTCTGACTAAGAGCAGTAGGAATGAACAAAGTACTTTAAAAACCTGTTTTTTCCTTTTAGCTAAAAGAACAGGTTTTTATTTTTTTATGATTGTTTCTAAAAAGCCAATGCTATCAGAATATGGCACACTATGTACAGGGGAGTCTAACCGATCAGTGTTCACTTCCCACGTGACCATTCCCTACACAACTGCTGTTTTCCCAAAAGGGAAAGAAGTCTTTGAATGCAAGTTCTATTCTGTTCTCAGTCCCCACAAAAGCTGATTACTTGTTCCTTTACTTGGCTGAAGATCTTACAGCCAATCACCACAGCTACCTTTTAAGGAAATTATCACTGAATAAATAAATAATCTTGATATTCCCCAAAGTGGTTTTTATACAAAGGCAACACTCATTAAAAATCAAGGCTCTATGGTAAACTGAATGCACCATATTATAACAGGTGTTTCCAAAGAACAAGTTGGCACAAGACAAATTTAAAGAATATTTGACAGTATTAAAATAAAAATAATTATCAGTTAAAAGTTCATTATTTTTACACCAGAAAGTCCTGATATTGAGGGAAAGGTATGGTCAAAGTCAGCAATCAATATTCATCATCCAAGTTCGGCTTCAGGCCACAGTAGAGAAGAAAAGGGAAAATGGGTCCAGTTCATAATGTTCTTTGTGAGTTCTATGGAACACAAGGCCAAATATCACCCATTGTGGAATATGTTGATCTAGATCCAAGTGGTCACTGCCATTCTGAAAAGTTTTCCTCCTGGGAGCAACTATCCATATCTTTCTCTTCTAATTCACATGTTTCTATGATCAAAAGACATATAGTCTTTCTTGCCATTCATTAGACTGTTCATTGCTGGTTACTGTAAAGACATTTGAGGAGTAGAAATTTGATGGTATGCAAAGTGCCTTTCTAAAAATCTCAGTGTTCTCTTAAAGTGAGTGTAGCAACTGTCTAGTCTCCCAATAAAATAATATGGCTGACGGTGGTTTGACACTAGAATCAAAAAAAAATTTTTTTTCAACTCAGAACATTTAAGCTGACCATATCTCACTTTGCTATTAGGCAATGACTTTCAACAAAAGTTAGGCTGGGGGAAGGGGCTGTTATCTGTCCAGTATAAGGCTCCTTAACACATTGTGCTCATTCAGCAATACTGGTGCTAATAGAGCCTGGCCTCCAGAGAACAGAGGTATAGAAACAGAAAGATTTTCCAAGGCCAGAAGCATTTGTTTACATCACAACATTAAAGCATAATACATTGTGGGCCTAAAAATTAAGTTGCGTGTGTTCCAGCAGTAGGAACAGGAAAAAAATAAATGCTTCCACATTTATATAGAAATGACACAGTGTAAAGCAGAGAATACAGTGAAGAATGTTTGGCAGTTCCTTAAAATACCACTGTTAGTTGCTTTTATAGTCTCAAAGCTAATTACATTATTTGAATGAGAATAAGAGGATTTAGCTGGTTGAGTTTGATTTCTGTCTCCTTATTCACAGGGAAAGAATTACTCTGATATGCTTTAAAGAGTGTTTGCTTTACAAAAAAATTAAGTTAAATTAAAATATTCTAAAATACCAATCATTTAAAAACCTTAAAAAAATCAAATTTTCAATACAGATGTTGAATTGAGTGTCACAAAGGAAATACCACCTTTGGTCACTCACTAAGACAGTTGAAACACTAACATTCTGGTTAAGTGTTAAGTGGCCTGACAGTTTTGAAGGAAATATATCCAGTTAGCATTTCATAATAATAAATACAATTGAATAAAGTACATGAGAAGCAAGAGGAATGCAGAGTTTAAAAAGTAAAACTGATCATTGCATGAGATATAAAAATAAACATTTATAAAATAAAAATATGGCAAATGATATTGCTCATTTGCTTAATTATCAAATAAAAAAAAACACTGTTATTGTTTTTTTCTTTAAAGCTACCATAAAAACTTTTAAAAATATGAAGCAAAATCACAGGGCAGACAAAAAACAATGTAAGTCAACAAGGCCTAAGCTCTGGATATTGAAACCACCCTCTCTGCAACTGGACTTCAGGCCAGGACGCCATTTTGTTTGCCGTTGGCTAAATGAAGGCTTTTATTCATGCATTTCATCATGGCCATTCAAGCTGTGATTTTGCCTTTCCCCATTTCTCTGAAGTAACTACCTCCCTTAGGGTTTTGTTTCTTTATCATTCTCCTCAAAGTTAACTCTTAGACATCTTTTGCCCAAATTCCTACAATCCAAACACTTTCTGAAACTAAAGACCCTTCTCAAAATGAAACACCCACATCAACTCTCAAAACTACTCTTAATAGCTTCCTGAATAGTGCCTGACTTTAAAGTCTATCCGAAAAGATAAGGCAGACTGAAGGCATTTCCCAATGGGAAAAGAATGGGTTACGAACTTTTTTCTAGTCACCTACACATTTCTTTCCTAAACAAAAACCGTACTAGAATGCCAAAAACGTCAGATTCATACCGTGAAAAATTATAGGCAGTCAAGTTGAAGGGATATTACACACATACATATATATATACATATATATATATGTATATGTATATATATATGTGTGTGTGTGAGATTGATATTTGTGTTAACTAACTAGTATAGGAAAATAAGCATTTCCATAAGGTTTGAAGTTAGACAAAGACTATTTCTTGAAGAGGAGTTTAAAGGTCTTGTATAAAGGATCCAATGACCATATATCATTAACGATGTGTAGAACTAAATACATGCATAAAGAAGTACTTTATTAATTTCAACTTGATGTTGAATTATCTATTTATTGAGAAGTACACAAAATATTTTTGAGGTTGTCAACAAATATTGTTATGTGTTTTAAGCAAGAGGAAAACTTCGATCTATGGCCAGAGAGGATGATGAAATCATCATTTATAAACACCTCTTTCCAATTCCACTTGCCTTGGCTATATAAAGGAATGTAAAATAAGAGAAGGGATAGAAAGTTTTCATTTTTAATTTACTTTACACAGACCTGAGTTAGGATATTATAGAATTAATTTTTTCCAATTAATACTAATCAATGTGCAATGCCCAGAGGCTTCAGAAGTCTTGACCTATTGATGAAGCAATAGCAAGAAAGTGTTAGAGAATGCCATCTAGGTCAATTTTCCCTGGAGGCTGTGTATAAGTATCTGCAAAATCTCTATAGTCCTGATAGTCAGAATAACACATTTTAATTGTTCCAGGTATGATCTTTTTAAAATACTTTATGGTTGTGATTTTTTTTTCTTTTCTTAAAAAGTACAAAAAGCAAAAGGCTCTTTTAATATATCATATACTAATGAACCCCAAAACAACTGTTTCTTACATTCTTCTATTCTCCATTTCATCCAAACATTGTTTTATTTACCTTGATCATATCTTCACTAAATTCTAATTGCTAAGTAAAGTATAGTCCCTAGATACCAATATTTCATACCTAAGAAAAAATGGCATTTTATAGATCTCTTAGACACTGTATCCATGGAAGTATAAGCAGTGTAGAGGTGGTCAATATTCAGAAGCTAGATTTTCTTGTACTGCCCAAGTGATCAGAAATAACCAAAACATTTTTAAATGCATTAAAATTATTTATGGTCAGAAAAACCCTTGAGGATAAATCCCAGGAGTACAAACATAGGAGGAAAAAATAAATGTGGAATGCATTCTGCATCATCCAGTAATATTTGCTACAGTGAGTCCGTTTTCAAGGCAGATTCGTAGGTTTTTACTGCTTATAATGGAAGCCTGGGGAAGAGAGAAAAAAAGAAGAAACAACATTAAGAAAAAAAAATCTTTGAAAATAAGCAAGGAGGTGAGGGTGGGTAGGGAGAGGTCAAGGGGGGAAAAAGAAAAAAAAAGTGAATATATTTGATCTGTAACAGTATCTTATAAAAAACCACAGTAGTTTAAATAAGTAATTTTTATAGATAATTTAATAATGTTATAATGTCATTCTTAGGATTTGATTCACTGCTCAGTGATTTACCATTGTGCAATCAATAAACATAGGTTTATGGAAAAAATAAAAATAAAATAAGCAATTAACAGATTCAATGCAATCCCTATCAAAATACCAATGGCATTTTTCACAGAAATCAAAGAATCCTAAAATTTATACGGAACCACAAAATACCCCAAATAGCCACAGCAAACTCTTAGAGAAAAAGAACAAAGTTAGAGGTAGCATACTACCAGATATCAAACTATATTACAGGACTATAGTAATCAAAACATTATGGTACTGCATAAAAACAGATGTATGGATCAATGTAACAGAATAGAGACCCCAGAAATAAATCCATGGCTATATGGGTCAATTCCTCTATAACAACAGAGGCAAGGATATACATTGGGATAAAGACAGTCTCTTCAATAAATGGTGTTGGGAGAATTGGACAGATAAATGAAAAAGAATGAAACGACATCACTTTCTTACACCATATACAAGAATAACTTCAAAATGGATTGATGACTTAAATGTAAAGACTGGAGACTATAAAACTCCTAAAAGAAAACATAGGCAGTAAACTCTTTGATATCATTCTTAGCAATATTTTCTTTTTTGGATATGTGTCCTTAAGCAAAGGAAACAAAATAAAAAAAATTAAAAAAATGGGACTACATCAAAGTAAATAGGTTTTGCACAATGAAGAAAACCATCAACAAAAAGAAAAAGACAACCTACTGAATGAAGAGAAAATATTTGCCAATGATACATCTCATAAGGGGTTAACATCCAAAATATATAATGAGAAAGTCAAACAACTTAACACCATGAAAACAAATACTCCAATTTAAAAATGGGCAGAGGACCTGAACAGACACTTCTCCAAAGAGGTCATTCAGATGGCCAACAGACATCTGAAAAGATGCTCAACATCATTAATCATAAGAGAAATGCAATTTAAAACCACAATGAGATATCACCTCATATACCTGTTAGAATAGCTATCATCAATAAATCATCAAACAAGTGTTGGCAAAGAGGGGAAGAAAAGAGAACCCTCATGCACTGTTGGTGGGAATGAAGATTGGTGCAGCCACTATGGAAAACGACATGGAGATTCCTCAAAAAGTTAATTACCACAGATGGAGCAATTCCGCTTTGGGGTATTTACCCAAAGAAACCAAACCATCAATTTGAAAAAAATATACATAACCCTATATTCACTGCAGCATTATTTACAATAGTCAAGATATGAAAGCAACCAAAGTGTACACCTATAGACAAGTAGATTAAAAAGCTGTAGTACATATATACAATTCAATAAGAAATCTCGCCATTTGGGACAACATGGGTGGACCTAGAGGGTATTATGCTAAGTGAAATAAATCTGACAGAGTGAAACAAATACTATATGATTTCACTTATATGTGGAATCTAAAAAACAAAGTAAAGCAGAAACAAACTCAGAGATCCAGAGAACAAATTGATGATTGCAAGATGAAGGAGGTTGAGAGATTGGGTGAAAAAGGTAAAGGGATTAAGATGTACAAGTTGGCAATTATAAAAAATAGTCACAAGGATTAAAGTACAATACAGAAAATATAGTCAATAATATTTTTATAACTTCATATTGTCAGATGGGAACTATACTTATTGAGGTGATCACTTGGTAAGTTAAATAAATGTCTAATCACTATGTAGTACACCTGATACTAATATAGCATTGTATGTCAACTAGAATTAAAAATACTTTAAAGAATAAAAAATAAAAAATTATAAACCTTGAAACTCAGTTTTTCTCCCTGCTTAAGCATAATTATTTATCTTTATTTATAGGTATTTCAAGTGAATCATACTTTGTTCTTGATTACAAAATATTTATATAAGGAATCAATGTGGTAGCCCAGCTCATGTGGCTCCGTGGTTGAAAGTCAACCTATGAACCCGGAGGTCATGGTTCTATTCATAGTCAGATTGCAGTCTTGATCCCCAGTGTGGGGCAAATGCAGGAGGCAGCTGATCAATGTTTTTCTCTCCCTCTCCCTTCCTCTCTGAAATCACTAAAAATATTCTTTTAAAAAAAGAATCAATGTATTATTTTAATATTATGTACTAAATATTTGTCGAGAAAGATATCCCTTAAAAGTAATGCAGGTTTATAGTTTAAGGAAAAAAGAAATCATTAGCTACTTCCCATTAAACCAAGGATGGTAAAAAGGCCACCAAAGAAAGGGAATTGTAATTTATAGGTTGTTTTGATAAAGTCCAACTAATCCCATCTTTTAAATAATGTCTTTTGTCTTATTTTCAACATTAGATGATTATCAGAATGGAAGGGTTGGGGGCAAAAGAGCTTTAAAAAATACCAATGACTAGCAACCTCCCTCCTCTTGAAATTCTTATGTAATTGGTTTGGAGTGGCACCTACACATTGGTATTTTATAATAACTGCAAAAAAAAAAAGTTAAAGATGTTTGGGAAAGTTAGATCTGGAAAAGGATAATAAAAACATTACCTAATAAATCTTTGAAGAAACCATAAGAAATAATAAACATCAATATCTAGCGAGTCAACTGCAATCTGCTTTCAGATATTTTACTTATATGACTCTAACAACACAGATACTATTAAAATCACCTCCATTTTTAGATGAGGAAATTAATGTAAGAAAGTACTTCATTATCTCATTTTAGACTATCTTAAAAATACACTTTAGTGAATGCATATGCTTTAAAGAACTACATTCAACCATTTCAACCATTCCTTTCATTTTAAAGATCTGGTCCAACTTAAATCTCATATTCTTTCCTCATTTTCTTTGTCCCATTTTTCTTTTGCATAAGTGTTTTATGTGCTGTGTGTATACATGTGTGTACTTTTAACTCCAGTAAGTAGAGTTTTGGGCAGATGGGAATAAAAGCTAAAACACAAAAATCCCAGGAAATCTAAATTGTGCCACAGTTACCCTTTAAGAATCTGATGAAAGCAATGAAATCTCTCTGCAGGAGAATGGAAATACATAAGAAAATCTTGCATTCAATTTAAGGTGTTTTGTTTCTGTATTTTTAAAAATTATCTTTACTAAATGAAGAATATTATAATGCTCTGTGGAGAGGAAGGAGAACTAATTTTTCCACTCTAGTGATCTATAATCCAGCATTTGATTTTTCCACCATACCACAAGGATTACTTAAAAAGATCCTACACTTGACCGTATATATTTTTCTTACCTTTATGAGAGGACTCTGATTTTGAGAAATGACGTGTGGGATAAGTGTAATCCAAATCCTCAGCATCTGTCATGGTAGGTGGTGGCGGCCTGGAGGGAGGTCTGAATTTAGAGATATTCTAAGTGCTGGTGACTACAATTCTACTGCTCATTGGATCACATGGTAAAAACATTTTCGGTACAAATGCAAAGTCAGAATGTTTGAGAATTCTCACTTTAGTTCCTGGCCAGTTGCATGACCTTGGATAAATTATTTTATCTTATTGTTCCTTTATTTTTATGCACATAGTTCAATAAAAATGCATACTTTTGAATACCCAATATGTGTGAAGCATTGTGCTAAGAATTAGAGAAACAAAGATTAATGTGATGTGACCACTGTCCCTAATGAAAAATTTACTTTGTTTTGGTAGGTTTTACGAAGAAAAAGAGGAAGACAGAAAAGAATAGAAATGAAGAAAGTAATAAAGAAAGATAAGGAAGGACCAAGGAGAGGGGAAGAGAAGGGACATTGTTTTCACACACAAAATTTACTGCAAAATTATTTAATCCACTAGGTGGCAAAGTAGAGCTTAGAGAAGGAAAAGGCAGTCATATATTGGCAACTTTTCAAGTCAAAAGAAAACATTGGAAAAAACACTGGAAAATTTGTACTGCTCTAAACGTTTTATTATTTTAATCATGTAACACAGATTTTTGCAAACATTTGGCTTTAATGAAGATGAAGAATAGAATCTCTTATTTTCCGTTGTTTCCCAAAGGTATACTCAAATGTTGCATTAAATTATGGAACCACATAAGGTTAAGATTTGTCAACATATAACCATGTTGTAGGATACTTTGTGAACTAAATATACAATCTGGAAGGCATAAGTAGTCTGAAGTTTGGAAAGTTACATTTAGTTAGGTACAATGGTCTCTGTCATATAAAAATAAATGCAAGTGTTTTCAAATTTCTCACCCTGTCCCCAAGTGGTAGGCCTCGCCTGTATATTCACTATCTACAAGAGGTCAGCAAGGGATGTAAACTTATATATATAGTAAGGACTCCACTATAGATTTTATATGAATATATCTCAATTAATTAACTTTGAAGCTAAGCCTGCATAGTAGCTATCATACACATATTTTAGAGTCAGATTAGATAAGATGAGGTAAGTGATCTGTCCAAGTTCACACAATTGTTAAGTGGCAGAGACAGGGCTCAAACTCACATGGACTTCAAAACCAGTGCTCTTAACCACCATACTATGCTCTGCCACAGAGGTTTGTATTAGTGGCTGTGTCTTCATTCAAAACTACGAGAAAAATAAAATACCAAGTAGTACTACCACTATAAAATGCTGTAGTTAAAAGAATTTGGAACTTGGGTTGAAACTTTTTCCAATTACAAAGTGGTATAATTCATTCAGGTTGCCAACTGGTTCCCTATTTCTTTAGAAAGAGTAGAAAATCTTAGACAAAGAAATTGACTTTTGAGCATAAATGCTGCAAGCTCTGAGACTCTGCATCCCCTCTGCTACTATCATTGCTGCACTGCAGTAAACATCCTGACCTAGGCAGATCCATGTTTTTCAATCCTTGAAACCATTTCTTTCTATACAAATGGCTAAACGTTTCTACTATGACTATTTTTTTTAATCCACACCTGAGGACATATTTTTTATTGATTTTAGAGAGAGAAAAAGAGAAAGGGAGGAAGGGAGGGAGAGGGAGAGGGAGATCAATATGAAAGAGAAACATCAATTGGTTGCCTCCTGTATGCGCCTCAACTGGGCATCAAACCTGAAACTTTTTGATGTTCAGGACAACACTTGAACCAACTGAGGAACCCGGCCAGGAATACCATTAATTTTGAAAGAGGAATACATAGATTCTAACCAGAAAGCATACACTCTGATATTAGTTGCACAGACAGCACCAAGAAAACAGGCTTTAATTTTTAACTGGGAACATACAGGTCACATAAAATCCTTCATTTTTGTTTTGTCATATATATATAATCTTTGTGTAAATGATATTTAAAGATAAATGTTCCTCTCTGGTCAAATAAGATTTCAGTTTGATTAGTCTTTACGTAACTTTTCACTTATTTATAAGAGCCATTTTTCTATCAGATGCTCAAACCTCAGAGGGAAGGTAGGGGAGGGTTGGGGGTAAGGGGGAGAGATGAACCAAAGGACTTATATGCATGCATATAAGCCTAACCAATGGACACAGACAACAGGGGATGAGGGTGAGGGCAGGACTGGGGGGATGAGGGGACAATGGGGGGATAAAGACACATTTGTAATACCTTAATCGATAAAAATTTAAAAAATAAAAAAGAGCCATTTTTAATACATGTTCATTTGATTATTTATTCTTACAATATGCCAAATATTTTTAAGAGTGTCTATTACATTCCAAAAAGTTGTTTTCAACTTTAATAAACCTTCTTAGTGGCCATTCCTGATTGTTCTACATTATCTGCTATAAAGATATTATGGTTTTAAAGAGCCCATGGACTTTCAAGATGGCAAAATAACCCTAAAGATTTTAATTCACTTGACTAAAAAAAGCATAACTCACATCTAAGGACCTACTGAGAACAGATTAGTTAGCTGTTATTTAACTTGGATATTTTAGGGATGTAAATAAAACTGAACCATGTAGTACTAAAATCTGCTTTAAAAATTGTTTGGCATGTGCATAACTAAAAGCTACAAGAATAACTTATTTTGTGTGATTAGATAAACTACACCACTGTTGCACTAAGAGCTTTACAAACCTGATAAAATTTTCTAAAGGGTATTTATCTTCTGAAGGCCTTGAGTTTAAAAATAGAGGATGGGTTTTAAAGATCACTAAATACATTCACTTTAAGGAAACTAGTTGAGCAGTTTGTGGGCAATAAATGGAAACAACAGTGTATGTTTTCAGTGTAATAAATCTTATGTTTTAAAAATAAATATATTATTAGAAATCAGACCAAAATTCAAGGTTCTAATAATTAGGAGTTCTCAAAATGTCACACTTAGTGTTATTGTCTTTTTATATTTCACAAGAGGCCCAGTGCATGAAAATTCATGCACTGGAGGGGGTGTCCCCTAGCCCAGCCTGCCCCCTCTCACAGTCCAGGAGCCCTCAGGGCCGGAGGCAACCCAGCAATCAGGGGAAGGCGATGCCCCCATCACACCTCTGCTGCTGCCACTGCCGGCAGCACAAGCCTCGACCGGCCCTGGTTACCTGAGCCTCGGGTGGCCCTGGGTGGCTGGGCAGCCAACATCTGAGGCTTGCCTACACCTCGGGCCGGCCCTGGGAGGCTGGGGGGCTGAGGGGACTGGGGAACTCTGGAGGCAGGCATGTGGCAAGGCGGGGCTGAGGAGACTGGGTTCCGCCATCTTGTGGCTGTGGGTGCTGCCATCTTTGAGAGCATGGCAGTCAATTAGCATATTCCCTTCTTATTGGCTGTGGTTGCCGCCATCTTTGAGGGTGGGACAGTCAATTAGCATATTCCCTCCTTATTGGCTGTGGGCGCCCCCATCTTTGCAATGGTGTGAGTGTCAATTAGCATATTCCCTCTTTATTAGATAGGATGTTCTCTACTCCTATTCCAATCATATTTTCTTTTGAAAAGCAACAGAAAGCAATGAAGAAAAAAGAAAAGGTTGCTTCCCCAGAGACCTAGAGGCTGACAACTTGAGGTGGAAAGACAGCAGCTGCTCCATTATTCTGACCTAAGACTGCTTGAGGGAAGTCAGAAAGTACATATCCCACAGCCACAGTCATTTGACCTGGTGGGATTTAGAACAGTCTGCAATGACTCAAGGAGTATTTGCCTGGGATGCTGAGACTCACACAAAAATGAATTTAAGCATGTGTAAATGTCAGGACCCCACCAACGTGATCATGAACCTCAGTAAAAAATTAAAACCTGAGATTTTAGGAAACAGTTTAACCTCGTCTCTTCTTAGTTGAGGGCATCAGTTCATTGATGACAGAGGCAAGAACTGGTCCTAACAAAAAGCACATCCTTCCTTTCTATGCCCCAGCTTTGGTGAAATTCCCTGTCTTTCTGATTTGACTTGTTCAAACTCAATTTAAAAGACTGGAAACAAAAGTCTGAGAATACCCTGCAAGACTTGATATCACCTCAATGGCAGAAGCCTGGATCTCCTCCCAAAGAACAAACACGCCCCTCAGGCAACAACATCTCCTCACTCTCGGAAAAGTCAAGTCCTCACTCTGCTGTGGGTATCAACTTACCGTGCAGGCCTGTCATTCTTAGAGCGATGAGGTTCATCACTGTCTTTTGTCTTTGAGTGTGATTTAGCTGTTTTGGGCTATAAAAAAGAAAGAAAAAGAAGAACACATCCAGTAAACAAAGAAAGAAAAAGATTAGGTTTAGATAATATCTAAATTATGCCACACTACTCTCCTTTAATGATTTCAGGTTACTTACATTCAATTGAAGAACATAAAATATTTTTAAATACAATCACTCAGAGATTTTAAAAGAAGTTATAAAGGAGGTATGTTGGAGGCTGTCAGTGTAGTCAGGTGAGTGGGCTAACTAACCTCAGGTGAACACGCTCCCCTATGGCTGTCCCTGGCCACCCATTATTAACAGAATAGCTGCACAGCTGCTGAAAAGAACTGGCGGGTTTGTGCTCCTACCCTTATTTCTGAACACCTGACTTAGGGATGAGATTTCCAAACCAGAAAACGAAGGCCCATTTCATGGCATTTTTCCCAGGAGTAAAACTGTACCAGTGCCAGTTAAAAAATCTAGACAGCACAGAAGTTCTGATAGTTGATAGAAATGTGGCCTGCCTCTTACTTTCCTGATTAATAATCCTTAATAATACCTACTCCTTCACAGTCAGGTTAACAAAGAAATGGAATAACTCCTGGGAAATTATTTGTGGCTTAATTAATGGAGAAGCATGTGGGAAGCTTTCTACTAAAAATGAAATAGGTTAGGAAAAATCCTGAATTACAAAGAGGGTAAAAAAGGGAAATGAATATAAATAATTAACATGGAATAATCCTTTCACTTGCTTTTAGACTGACAACTGGGTAATTAAGCAACAGGAAATAAAGCAGTATTATTATCATGTTTTCTATATTGTCTTTTCCTCAAGGTCAAGAATCAGATAGGACTGGAGATCCAGGGGAGGAATTTGTTAGAGAGAATAGGTGGATACCCTCACTAGTTCCCTCACTGCATCCTTCTGTCTAGTACAAACTCCCTCCCTAGAAAGACTTTACCAAATGAACTCTCTCCCTCCTCCTCTGTTCTTCCATTATGCTCTCATCAGCCAGCATGACCCTGTATTTCTTAGCTGTCTATAGTCTGTCTCCCTGTCCACATTCTACATTATCATGAGGAAATATATGACTCTGTCTTTCCCTCTAAGTCCAAAGGGATGCTTTGCACACAATAACTAATTTGTAAAATCCATTGAATTGAATTTGCAACCACCATATACAATTAGATTACTTTATAATAGGATGAACTGAGGTCACTGACTATTTTGCCTCCTAGTTTTGAATTAACAAGGGGAAGGTAACAGCTCAAGCACATGCTAGGCAGTTCTTGCACTGTGACATAAGCAATGATTGCTGGTGATGTCTGTCATCAGAGGAAGGGAAACAATCTATACTAATAAAAAGAGAAACATGCAAATTGGTGTCACTCCGCTATGCCCACCAGCCAATCGGATGTGTATGCAAATTAACCCAACAAAGATGGCGGTTAATTTGCATACGTAGGCACCCAGCAGCCTGGGTCCCGGGAACATCATCGGCACCCAGGTCACTCCGAGGTAGGCCCCGTGTGGGCCCTGAGCAGCCTAGGAAGGGCCTGAGCCAGGGGGCTCCTGGGCAGGGCCGAACCTGCAATCAGAGCCAGGGGAACCCTGCCCAGGCCTAAAGCCTCGACCATAGGCTTTAGGCCTGGGCAGGGGCAGAGCCGGCCATCGGAGCTGCGGGGAGCCAGCCATTGGAGCTGGCCATTGGAGCCGACCATCGGAGGGAGCTGGGGTCCCCTGCCCAGGCCTAAAGCCTCAGCTAGAGGCTTTAGGCCTGGGCAGGGGCCCGAGCGGTGATCGGTGTGAACTACAAAGGAAACACCTTTTCTGACCGCTCATTGTCTAAGCTCCCTGTATGCCACTGGTAATATTCTTAGTAACTTGGGTAATAAGAATCCAAAAAGGTGATCTAGGGTTTTTCCACCACACTCCTGGAGAAAAAAATGAAGGTCCACTGCTGGAGGGCTAAGAAATGTAATATCCTGCCCTAGCCGGTTTGGCTCAGTGGATAATGCCTCGGCCTGCCCACCGCAGGGTCTGGGTTCAATTCTGACCAAGGGCATGTACCTAGGTTGCAGGCTCCTCCCTGGCCAGGGCTCAGGTCTGGGCTCATGCAGGAGGCAACCAATCAAAGTGTTCCTCTTACTTTGATGTTTCTCTCTGTCATTCCCTTTCTCTTCCACATTCTCTAAAAATCAATGGAAACATATCCTCAAGTGAGGATAAAAAAGAAGAAAGAAAAGAAAGAAAAGAAGAAAGGAAAGGAAAGGAAAGAAGGGAAGGGAAGGGAAGGGAAGGGAAGGGAAGGGAAGGGAAGGAAGGGAGAAGGAAGGAAGGAAGGAAGGAAGGAAGGAAGGAAGGAAGGAAGGAAGGAAGGAAGGAAGGAAGGAAGGTCATATCCTATGAAAGACACATCTTGAAAATGCCTAAAGAAAGTTGTCATTTTTTCATGGTGAAGGGACTGGAGTCCATGTTGATGAAAACACCTTGTGCTGCGTGACTGGCAATGGCTGCAGCAGTGGAGTCATGGGGCTGGTGCCTTCCCCTGATCAGCCCGGTCCCCTCCCACAAAGGGAGGCCAGACTGGGGCTTAGGCCCCCTCCCCAAGGGGAGCAGGGAGCGGGCCTAAGCCGTCAGTAAGACATCCCCTGAGGGCTCCCAGTATGTGAGGGGGGGAAGGTTGGGCTGAGGGACCCCCCCCCCCCAGTGCACGAATTTTGTGCACCGGGCCCCTGTGGGTACATAACCAGAGATGAAGCACAATATTAGTACTAGTGGCCTGGTGCATGGATTCGTGCACCAATGGGGTCCCTCAGCCTGGCCTGTGCCCTCTCGCAATCTGGGATCCCTCAGAGGAAATCCGACATCCCCGAGGGATGTAGCAGTATGGGAAGCAGCAGGCAGCCAGGGAGGAGCCCAAGCTGGTGCTGCTGTGTTGCTCCCATTCATCCTGGCCCAGCTGCGTCTGCTGCCACCGCTTGGTAGAGCTGCTGCAGAGGTGGAAGACGCTCCCGCTGCTGCAGCTGTGCTCGACAGCCGTGAGCCCAGCTTCTGGCTGAGCAGTGCTCCTGTTGTGGGAGTGCACTGACCACCAGAGAGCAGCTCCTGTGTTGATTGTCTACCCCCTGGTGGTCAGTGCATGTCATAGTGACCGGTCGTAATGGTCACTTAGGCTTTTATATATATAGATAGGGAAAGAACAGAGAGGAAGAAAAGGCCATCTGAAAGCACATGAAAACACTATGCTCTCCTGTAAGGTAATATAGTAAAACTAAGATTGCTCATGACCAGAGGGCACTCACACTTAGGTTGGTCTTAAAATGAATAAAATAAGTTTTTCAATTTTAGCAGTAGCTTTTAAATAGTTACTTTCAAGAATTTAGTATGATTTTTTATAGTAAAATAACTTTCGCAAGTCAGATTCACATGTGATACAGATAATTTCTTTACCTAAATATATTTGCAGAGCTTACCCTAAAAGGAGAGTCCCCTTCACAGTTCTAATTTAACTTGTCATTTAAAAAAACAAACAGACAAAAAACAGACCCTACCTTCCAATCAGGGTCATGTTTTCGTTTGTCCAATGACGATTTCTCCTTGGCTTTCTTGTAAGCTTTCTTTTCTTCAGCCATTAAAAGTCTAGCAATTTCCTAAACAAATTGAATCCATATTGTCATTGATTACAGAGTTGCAGGTAGAAAATTACTTTCCAAAGAATATTGGCTAAACAAAGTCGTTAACTACCATAAACTCACCTCATCCTGGGCCACTTGAGCTGCTCTCAGATCCACCTGGGTAGCCTATAGTACAGAAAATACAAACAAAAAATTTAATTGGATTCTATGCTGTCCATTTTTTAAAATCCTACATAAAAATAAACTGGTATTTAAAACTAGTTACGATTAACATCTTTCAAGTTGATAAGGGTTGGTATATATTTGCCAGCTAAAGTGGGGTCTATTTTTAACTAAATTCTGCAGCAGATTCTTAGAGAATTATCAGCACTCAATAATGGAGAGATATGTATATAGAATTCTATTGCTAACACTTGCTCAGTAAATAAAACTACATACTCTAATCCTGTTCTTTGATTTTTCCACCAATAAAAAAAAGGGTATTAGCTCCTTAACTGATAAAGGACTATAATGCGTATTATATAATCTCAAGAATGACTCAATTCACAAAAAACCTTATTCAACTCAACTTTTGCATTAAAATTTGCTCACCAAAATTTCTTCTTCCTGCAGTTTTCTGGCAATTTCAGCATCATACCATTCCTGATTTCTGGGGGTCACTCTCGACGGAGTAGAAACTGATTCTTTCATCCCCCTTGGCTTCATTCCTAGAAAAAACTCAATACAGTAAGGCAACCACGTTTGTTTTCTAAATAGTTGCAAAATTTATGGTAAAAACAAACAAACAAAAAAACACCACCTTTACCTTAAAGTTTACCTTTCTTTGCTATCTAACACTGACAATACTGCTGCCACTCCAAAATTCAGTGCAGGGTGCACTGGAAATAATTTTTCCCCTAAAACATGGAAGTGGTGATGCAGACAATCCACACACTTAAAGTTACCCACCCAACCCTTCCTGGTAAAACCTCCCCTCTCACAGTTTCTTCAAGAACAGGAAATCAGGCTATCAGGCTAAAGACTGTGAGGCTTTTGCAAAACAGAAAGTAAAAAAAAAAAAAGGGGGGGGGGCTAGCCAGTTTGGCTAAGCAGATAGAGCATTGGACTGCGGACTGAAGGGTTCCAGGTTTGATTCCGGTCAAGGGCACATGCCTGGGTTGCGGGTTCAATTCCCAGTGGGGGGCGTGCAGGTGGCAGCCAATCAATGATTCTCTCTCATCATTGATGTTTCTATCGCCCCCTCCCTCTCCCTTCCTCTCTGAAATCAATAAAAATATATTTTTTAAAAATCTTAAATTTAAAAAAAGGGTAAGTCAATGAAATAAATAGAGTTCAGAGGAAAGAAAGGTACAGAGCTGAGGTTTTAAAGAGGCTTAGCTGTCAAGACTGGAGGAAATGAGAGACTTCCTTCTATTTGCTTCAGCCTTGCACACCTTCCCTCCAAGAGAATAGAACAGCATCCCAGGGGAGTGGTCCTGCTGTGGCTTCTGCTCTGATTGCCAACAAGCCCACTTGCTTCTCCTATCTTCCCTATAGCTCTGATCAGTTTACTGTTGTTGTGAAATTTTATGGAGGGTATAACATAAAGAAAACAGACCACAATGACTCTAGAGTTTTACTCCTCTGAGAAAGGAACAGGCAGGGATGAGGGGGGATTTTGGCTTTTTATTTTGAAATTTTAAATGCCACATACATTCTTTTTATAACTTTTAATAGACTGATAAATGCTAATGGTCATTTCAAAATTGTGGATATTTCCTTCTTTGTACCCTCTCTAAATTACAACTATTCAACAATGTGAATACATTATCCTCAGAAATAATAAAAATGTTGAATGCAGTGAATGAGATTAACTATCTGAAATAGCGACTTCAGTAAATGGATTGCTGATGGGAGAAAGAAAATTCACTCCTGTATTACTTTTTATCAGTGGTTCTCAACCATGGCTGTATACTAGAATCACTTGTGGTGCTTTAAAGAAACACAAAAAAAACTTGACCCAAATCCCAGGGATTCCAATTTAAGTAGCCTGGAGAGATCTTGCCTTTAGTATTTTGTTTTTTAAAAATCTTTAATAGTTGATTATTTTCAATTAGCATTAGAACTACCAGTTTAGTGTGCTATGTCCATCAAAATAACCACACATTAAAATGGCTTTTAGCAAAATGCCTCACCACACTTGATTTGCTTGCTTTAAACAAAAAAAGAAAAAAGGAAAGACAAGAAAATACAACTAAATTCTGGGCAGATGAAGAGAATTTAAGTTTTCTGGTGAAGCCTTTCTTAGTAGAGCTTTGAACCTAGCTTTGTGGTAAATCCTAAAGCCACAGACTCATCTGCCCTTCCCACACAAAATAAGACTATTAAACATGGTTTTCTTAGCTTCAGGCCAATTAGTACATGACTGCCCAGAAGAGAATCCACTTCAACTTCCCATCGTTTCTAGAGCTACTAACTCTTATGCAGGCGGGCCTGGTTTTAATCCAGATTTCTGAGTGGTTTGGGACAATCACAAAACAGTAGCACACTCCCAAGAGTGGACCATATTTAAGTGGAATATAAACCTCCCTGAGTTATGATTAGTGTGGTCATAGCTAGAAAGGAATATTTTAGATAAAATAAAATTATATAAGGAAGTTCGTATTGGGGAGTCAGTGGACAAGGTAGATTGCTGTATCATATTCCTATCTATAGAAAAAAGACACATTGAGCAGCCCAAGGCCTAGTTGAGGACAATAAGAAAGATTACCCTTATCCCTTGCCCCTTCAATTTTGCCATCCAGTGAAAGAAACAATATAGTGGGATATGTTCAACTTTCTCCACTATTATGCCTCCTACTCTACATCACAGAATTAACTGAGAAAATGTTTTAATATCTATCAAAGACACTTGGAAGGTATTCAAATGCAATAGTCTTAATTGGCTTGACACTTTGAGAAGACTGTAACCTCTTGGCAGTTAAAGAGAGAATGATACATAGATCAATGGAACAGAATAGAAAGCCCAGAAAAAAAAAAAGAAAAGAAAAGAAAAAAACTTTTAACATATGATCATTTGCAACAAATGAACCAAAAATATATAATGGGAAAAGAACAGTCTCTTCAATAAATGGTGTTGAGAAAAACTAGACAGCCACATGCAAAAGAATGAAACTGGACCACTATCTTCCACCATATGCAAATATTAACTCAAATGGATTGAATATTAAACATAGATCCAACCCATAAACTCTAGACATAACATAGCCAGTCAGATCTTTAACATCAGTCCTGGAGATGATTTTTTGGTTTTGACACCAAAAGCAAAGGCAACAAAAGAAAAAATAACAAGTGGGACCAATCAAACTAAAAAGCTTCCACACAGCAAAAGAAACCATTAACAAAACCAATGGCAACCTACCAAATGGAAGAAAATATTTGAAAATCACATAGCTAATAAGGGGGAATTTCCAAAATATATAAAGAACTCATACAACACCATATATATATATTTATATGATTAAAAATGGACAGAGGAACTGAATAGACATTTTTTTCAAAGAAGACATACAGATGGTCAATAGGTATATGAAAAGATGTTCAAAATCACTAATTAACAGGAAAATACAAATAAAAAAATTGTTAGAATGGCTATTATAAAAATAAATGTTAGTGAGAATGTGAAGAAAAGGTAACCACTATGAACAGTTGGTGGGATGTAAACTGAATTAGTGCAACCATTATCAAAACCAGTTTGGATGTTCCTTGAAAAATTAAAAATAGAACTACTATATTATCCCTCAATTCCCATTCTGGATATTTATCTGAAGAAAGTGAAAACACTAACTGGAAAAGGTATATGCACCCATGTTTACTAAAGCATTGTTTACAACAGCTAACACATGGAAATAACCTAAGAGCCCACTGATGGATAAATGAATAAAGGAGCTGAGGAATACAGTCATGTGCTGCTTAACAAGGAGGATAGTTCTGAGAAATGCATTGGTAGGCGGCTTTATCATTGTGGGAACATCATAGAGAACGCTTACACAAACCTAGATGGTACAACCTGCACACCAGGCTATACTATATAGCCTATTCCTCCTACGCTACAAGCCTGCATAGCATGTTACTGTACAAAACAACATGAGATCAAAAATCTTAGAGAAAATGATGCAATCAAAAGATAGAGTAAACACGAGATGTAGGAAGCTGTTGCTGGCATAATGGGATATACTGTTTTACAGCAAAGTCTTTTTTTTTTAGTAAGTAAAAGAAGTGCACTCTAAAACAGCTAGAAGTATAGTAGATACATTACGCCAGTAACAGAGTTGTTTATTATCAAGTATTATGTACTATACATAACTGTATGTGCTATCCTATATAATAAAAGGCTAACATGCAAATCAACCGAACGGCGGAACGACCGGTTGCTATGACACGCACTGACCACCAGGGGACAGATGCTCAACACAGGAGCTTCCCCCTGATGGTCAGTGTGATCCCAAAGGGGAGCACCGCTCAGCCAGAAGCTGGGCTCATGGCTGGTGAGCGCAGCAGCAGTGGCAGGAGCCTCTCCTGCCTCCGCGGCAGCACTAAAGCTGTCAGTCGGACATCCCCCAGGGGCTGCTGGGACCCATCCCCAAGTGCACAAATTTCGTGCACCAGGTCTCTAGTACTTTTATAAGATTGGCAGCTCAGGTTTGTTTACACCAGCATCACCACAAACAGGTGCCTTGTGCTCTGACACTGAGATGGCTATGATGTCACTAGCCAATAGGGAATTTTCAGCTCCATTGTATTCTAATAGGACCATCATCATATATACAGTCTGTGACCAAAATGTCATTTTTGGCAACAAACAATGGAATATTACTTAGCTATAAAAAATGAAATCTTGTTATGTGCAACAACACAGATAGGCCTTGAGGGCATCATGCTAACTGATACAAGTCAGACAGAGAGAGACAAACACCATATGACTTCACTTATATGTAAAACCTAAGAAAAAATGTGCTCATAGGTACAGAATACATAAAAAAAATAAGTCATGGAAATGTAATATACAGCATGTTGACTACAGTTAATAATACTATCCTATATAATAAAAGGCTAATATGCAAATAGGCCGAACAGTGGTACAACCTAACAACCAGTCGCTATGAGCATATCAGGGGGCGCACATGGAACATGGCAGACATCGGCAGCAGGCGGCAGGATGGTGGAGCAGATGAGCGGGGGCACCAGACCAGGGCAGGATGCTGGTTGCCGTCATTGGGGCGAGCCTCTGTGGTTACTGAAAATTCTTTGCTCCTGTGTGCCATGGTCCTGCCTGGCACTCGCATCTGCTGCCAGTGCCAGCCCTGCTCACACCTACTGCTGGCCTCAATCGCTCTGCACTGTCAGCAGATGCAAGTGGGGCCAGTGCTGTCAGCAAATGGGAGCAGTGGCGGCAGGAGCGGGGCTGCTGGCAGACAGGGGACAAGGGGCCGTGGTGGGCGGGGCTGGGCGGGGGTATGGAGGATGGGCGGAGACCCACCCCTGTGCCCACTGCAGCCTCGCAACCCACAGTTCCTTTCAAGGTGCATGAATTCCTGTACTGGGCCCCTAGTATTGCATATTAGAAAGTTGCTAAATGAGCAGATCTTAAAAGTTCTTATCACACTCACAAAAAATTGTACCTGTATTTGGTGATAGATGTTAACTAGACTTGCTGTAGTAACCATTTCACAATATATACAAATACCAAATCATTATGTTGTACACCTGAAACTAGTATAATGTTATATGTCAACTATACCTCAATAAAAATAGTTAGAATTTGAAGTGCTATCTCCCTCAGTTCCAAATATATAGTGGGAAAACAGTTTATTTGTTCTCTTGCTATACACTGGAACCTGCATGTCTCATTAGTAGAAATTTCCATAGCCCAGAATAATTTCTGGAACGTCAGCCAGTGCAATCTAAGGCTATCATTACAGAAACAGGAATGCTTTAAAAGCTTTAAAAGCACAGTTAATTGAAGAAAATTAACAGAAAGGCTGTCCTCATTTTAATAGCCTAAACATATTTTGAAAACTCACTTTCAACAGTTCCACATTAATTTCTTAATCTAATTTTGCTTGATTTTTTTTTGTTTATGATTCTCCAGTATAAGAACATAAGACCTTTCCTCAGTAAAATAAAATAAAATAAAATAAAACTTACCTTTAAATAAATTCTGCTAGGAACAAGGTAAAATGATGATGACAGATCTTTAATATAATGCAAGAATATTTTGTAATAAGCCAGTCTGACACTTGGGGGATGTCATAGCAGAAAGGTGCAGAATTTTATGACCCTGAGAGGCTGAAGGTTAACCTGAAGAAAATTAACAGGCTGACATGATATTAACAGCTAAATAGAAAAGTTACCCTCAAAGGTGGTATGGGTGTCCTGGCCTTGAGAAGGTTAACCAATTTTATATTTAATTTAGCAACTTTATTTTGCATTCCCTTTTCAACTGACTGTAAAATCTGGTCCTGCTAATGCTTACTTAGAACAAGCTATTTGTTGTCCTGCTAGTTTCCTGATTATTAATTATGAGGGAAGTTATTAATGCTAATAACTAAGAATAGACACCTGTGCCTAGTAACTATATATTAATGAAATCTTCTGACCTATTCCAGAGGATTTGGAAAACCTAGCCTAGAGGGGTAAAATCTGTAAAGTAAGTTGAATACAAAATGACAGACACAGCACCTATGTTAGTAGCCATGTTAGTACCTGCCCAGCCACATTGTTTTTTAAACCCCTGTGCTGGCAAAATAAAAAAAATAAATAAATAAACATTTACCTATACCTCCAGTAGTCGGGTCTGTGATTCAGTGTCCAGCTTTATATCAGTTTCACCCTTCCTAAGCCTGTTTAACATTTCCTCAAGTATAACTAAAAGCCATAAAGGTTAACCAGCCCTTGGAGCACACTTATAAGGTCAAATTCACAGAATCAAAAATATAGAGGTTGGTGTAATCACCGCTCCTCCCCCAAACCTTTAGGACTCCAACATGTCTTTCTAAATCTGGATATAGTATAACTCACTCATAAAGCCTTCTCCAGATAGAATATATCACTTCCTCCTCTATGCTCCCCATAACTCACTGTTCAAAGTATATCTAATTTGCAATTGCTGTTTACATAGCCATAGTTTTGCCTTCAGTTATTAATCCTCTGAGGCTCAGATCTAAGCATAAGCCCCCAAACACAAAGCCTGAGGCAAGAATATCTGTGACAGGTGTCAGTATGGGTTGCTGGACTGAATTTCCATTTTCTTTTTGACCAAGTCCTTTAACAACTTAAAGGATTAACCTGATAGGAAGCAGCAACTAAATCAACCTGAATCTGCAACCTCAAAATCAGTTTCCAGGTCAGAAGTAGAGGCTGGCTGGGCAAACACTAAAGAAGAAAACAAGAACAGATGCCTCCTTGGTACTCCTTTCCCAATAACCCTTGCATTTCTAAAAAACTTCAGTAGGAGTAAAATAGATCCAGGGAGGTAAGTATGGTCTACTACCAGATAGAGCAGTGCTAGGGCTTACAGTGTTACAGCCACAAGGTTTCCAGACAAAAATAGAAAGAACCTTCACTGTATCAATGATGGACTTCAGAGTTAAATCTCAGAGATGCCAGAAATGGAAAGCTTACATCTAACGTTCTCTTCATTCCTATAAAAGTACAGGTGTGCCTTAGAGATATTGCAGATTTGGTTCCAGACCACCACGACAGAGCGACTGTGGCAATATAGCCAGTCATAACCTTTTTGCTGGAGGAGGGTCTCACCTTCAATTTGTAGAAAATGCAACATCTATGAAGTGCAATAAAGTGAAGGGCCTGCACCAGGAACTTACCTGATATTGGCACCTCAGAACAACTACTATAGAGTTAGGGTTGAAGAACATTAGGCATAGAAAGGAACCTAAGGCAAGGATTTTCAAACTTTAAGTACACAATTGTCTCCAGGTCTAACAAATTGCCAGGTCACACTCCAGAGATGATGATATATGGGAGACCCAAAATCTGCATTTTTATGAAATAGTTCAGCTGCTTCTGATGAAAACTGACTAAGGCTCCCAATATATAAAGCAGTGTCGTAAGAGACTGCCTATCCACTCTCTCACGTTACAGATGGGAAAGATAAGGGCAAGAAAATCTAGAACCTCCAGCCCCATTGGTCTTCTAGTTAAACAAATGCTATGAAGGCAGTGTCACCAGATCTTCTGGGTTCACTGAAGCAAAACCAGAAATTCGGGAGCTTTGCTTTGGTATCTGAATCTCGGATGCAGGATCTTGGCAAGGGAAGAACTATCTGGGAAGGGCACCTCCACTGCCGTCTAGGGCCGGGTAACTCTCCCGGCTCTCGGAAGACAGAAAGGGAAAGTCACCAATATTTTTCTTCTTCCTGCTTACTTGAGATTAAGGAAATACCTTATGTAAAATTTGGCACCAGGTTTATTTATAAGAGCAGGTTGCTTGAGATGCTTACTAAAGACATTAGCTTGTACGTATACACAATACCAGGCCTTGCAACAACGTCCTCTATTACCTGTGTCATGGAGGTGGAGCTGCTCCTCACTCTCTGAGAAGGGAGGAGTCCTGGGCCTGTGCTTCCGCTCTCTGCGCTCCCCTTGCCCACGCTCCCTCCCATAAGCAGCCTCCTTGCAGTGAATCTCTGCTTTTGGAGAAGACTTCGGGGAAAGCCTGTCTTGGTGTCTGGAATGTTTTTCCCAATTCCGAGTCCGATGGCTACTGCTAGCCTCCCGGTCATCAGATTCCGTGCTCAGAAACACTTCACCGCTGATCTTGGGAAGAGGAGGTCTCCGGGGCCTCTCATGGCCAGACCCTTTCCTTTCACACAGCTCAGTGACAATTTGGGGATCATCCCTCACTCTGCGTGAGCTAGAGGACAGAGACTTCTCAGGTAAACGATGCTCTTCCAGTTCTTCCCAGTTCTCCGGTGGATGTCTGGGTTTCTCCTTTCTCGGCTTCACAGTCTTTTCATCACTTTGGAGTTTACAAGACTTTGAGAATCCAGAACCCAATTCCCTTGCCCTCCTTGACCGTGGCTGGTCTGAGTGGCGGTAGAGGAATGTGGAAACAGAAATGCAGGTTAACTTAATCAGATTATGAACTCACTACACAGGTGAGACAGGATCCAAACCTAACCTGTTTTAAAATGAAGAGGACCACTTTTTCAACTTAACCAACTGAAAGTAGGGGATGGGCATCTACTGGAAGGATTCTGGGTACATAGCCAAAGAAGTAAAATAAATGAAGTAATTAATTCATTCAATCAAGTGAAATAAATCTGAAAGATCTTGATCATGATTAGGAAGAGTTAACAAAGCACTTTAATATTTGCCAAAAACAGAAATTATAGCCATTAAATGTTAAATTATACTTATAAAACCAATTTGGAACTGTATAAGGGGGGAAATGGGGGTTGAGGAAATCTCATAAAACAGAAAAAACTAAGCTTCGTGATTCCAGTCAGAGGCTTTCAAATATTCTTCTTGGAAATAATAAATCAAGATCAGAATGTTGATAGTTTCCATGTAGTTCAGAGAAATGATCCACAGATTTTAGTATTCCTCTATCCTTTCCCCTTAGGTGGCCAAAGCAAACATTCCCAGCCATACTGGGTTCAATGTGAAAGAGGGTGAAGTAGAGGAGAATTTTAAGTGATTCAATGACCCTGTTATCTTTGGATAATTCTGTTCCCAATCTTACTTGAATCATGGCAAAGAAAAAAAAAATAAAAAGAGATGCCATCATGGAATACACAAAAAATAGTCATTTCCTAAATTCATTTTTAAAACTTATGATTCTATATTATTTATATAAAAATACAGTATGTGCTAAATATACAAGTCCCTAAGTTTAACACCATGTTTAAAAGCAGCAAAATAGATAGGTGCTTTTGTTGGGTCTCACTTAGGCACAAGTATAGTATAGAAACAAAGGAAGTACATTAATATGCACTTTGCAAGAGTGTATTTATTTTAACATTTCTAAGCCAATAATACATTCAATACATTTGCATATAATAAAAGGAGACCCTAATTCCATGGAAAATTTTGAAGATAGCTGGAATTAGTCATTTGCTGAATTGCATTTGAAACAGCTACCCTAAGTTGACAGGATATAAAAGAAATAAAGAACTATACATTTTTTAGTTTCTAGGTTTTACTGTGGTTTTTGGATTTTTTTTTTTGCTTTGGTTTTTTGTTTGTTTTTTAGGTTTGTTATTATTAATCTAATAAAGGAATAGAGGAAGGAAAGATATATGGTAAATGCATCAATGATGCCATAAGCTTCTCAAACTTTTTGAACTACTTCTTGAACTTAAGAAAATTTGCTTCAAAGATGACATCTAAATTAAGATGTCTTCTGAAAAGTCAGTAAAAGTACTTATCTTCAGAATTTATAGTTAAATTTATTTTTTACATAACAGCAAAAGTGAAACAGAACAATTACTCTGTAATTTAAAAAAAAAATAGCACCTACTCTTTTAACCAAACACTTATTTTAAGTGTATCTTGACAACTGAGAAAGAACCAATTGACTACTGCTGTGAATTAATATAATACAGACAGCTATTTGAATGATGACCACATCCAGGGAACAATGACTTGCAGTGTTAGTACCAGTGTTTCCAAAGACAGCTGCATGAGTGAAGTCCGCCTTTAAGGCCAAAAGAAACAAGAAGCGTTTTGTTTTCAACATGGATTTTTGAGGCTATGATTATTTTGTTGTTGGTGTTTTTAAATTCTTTCTCAAACGTTATATGGTATTAGTTTTACTAATTAGTAGGGCAATGTGTTACAAGAAGGAAAGCAGAACAGTCACTACATTTTCAGAGTTGATGGGATAAAAATATTTATTGTTTAGTTAATTTGCTGTGACATCTTTAAATATGGGAAAGAAAAAAAAAGACAGGGGTTGAGGAATCTGGATCCTTTAAAAACCCATCCAGTTAAGGACTGAGACTTGTACATTTCTTAAGACCAAGTTATTTGGCAAATATAATTAACTTCCTTATATACATATACATGCATATGTACATATATATATATATATTTTTTTTTGGTGCCTCCATGTTTGTCTTTCAAAATTAGATGATGTTTAGATATAAGAAGTACTTTGTTATACATACATAACACTAATGTGTATATATATAAACAATAGTACTTGAGAGTTTATAGGTCTTCACCAAAATTACATTATTTGATCTTCTCAACATCCATGAGGAGAATATATTATTATAATCCCCATTTTACAAATGATAAAAAGGCTTAGAGTGATTATAATAGATAACTTCCTTAGATCGTATGACTCCAAAGACCATCACTTAAAAAAAAAATCACTAATATACCTACAATACAGGTAAGTAAGTGGCTTTGAAAGAAAAACATGGATTCACAAATGAGTAAGATATACCATTTCAGCTGATATAAATCTGACAGATATTGGTATAATCATAAATTTGTATAAAATTTATAAATGATCATTTTTAAAAGATTAATTTATTAAATTTTAAAAACACCTGAAAGCTTCTGTAATAATATACTGTGATTATTATGTAAGTAAGGCAAAAATCATATTACACAAAGACAGAGAAGTACAATGAAAGAATATCTCTTATGTGTTGGGAAAGGACCACTGCAAAGAACATAAGGACCACTTTGTAAATACAAACTGAATTGTAATGTGATTCCTCTGATTTCAACTTGGGTCTAACTTAGAGGCATATAAGTAAGGATCACATGCTCAGCAATACATAATCTCTCAACAACAACACCACTGAAGACAAAATCCAACATTTACAAGCATATGCTAAGGAGGTCATTACTTCATATTCCCAATCCCCCAAAAGTGGCATATATGCCACTCTCTATAAGTTTACAAAAGCAGTTAAGGTATATATAGGATAGTGGGTGTTTTTTTTTTTAACTTTTAGATATCCCTGAAAATCCACTGAATTCTTAACATATGATATGAATCAGGATGAGGACACTGTGATCAAAACAACCAGGTTTGAGTTACAATTCAAGTTAGTATAAGGTTTTAAGAGAGACTAAAATTAATATTTTAGTATACTCATTGCCATCCTAATGGTTTTTATAGACTTGACAGTTTAAAGTAGATATTTTTATTTGCAGTGAACATGCCTCCAGAGTAAAATTAAAAATAAAAACAAAATAAAAACACATTCCTAAGTTTTTAATTAAGTCTAAAGAGTAACTCTTTACCTTCTGGTCTCTAGTATAGCACAACAGGGCCATAATGTCTCTTTTTAAATGATGTACTACATGTCTGCATTAGAAAAATCAGTGTAAGAAAAATGGGTATCCAAAAAGAGCTGGGCACTTTACATATGGAAGAACACCACAGCAAGCAATAAATGAAGAATCAACCTGCTTACTAATTACGCCATAGGGCTGAGCTCTACTGATTATGATCAATTTGGAGGAACAATGTGACTGAGCAAGATGCACCTAAACTGTGATAATTCCATCATCTGCATATACATTCCTTTCATTCTACTCATCAAAAACAAACACCCACTTACCTTTCTTAATGAAATTATAGAGAAGCAACTGACAATTAGTTTGCAAAGGTCTTTAAAACCATCGAACTTAAATCTTTACTCTCTAGAAGCAGCCTTTAGATTTTATTTATTTGTTATCCTCAGTATGGCCTCTGAGCTGAGCTACAATAAACACTCATACTAGAAACTATAGGAAATACCTTCCTTTGACAGATCTTTAAAAAGGACTGAGCAATAACCTGCAAATACTCGTTTCCCAACACACTGAAGGTGAAGAGCCACCACCACCGAAATTGCCCACCACCACTGCAAACACAAGCACTAGAAAGAGAAACTTTGAAGGGACTTCCTTCCCCCAGAAAGTTTTCTATGTGGTAATTGAATAGCAAAGAAAGCATCAAGAGCAAAATAATGAACAGAGAATCATAAATTGTAATTTATCACCATTGGCTTATGTTTAAAGGACAAGATGAATGGGGAAAAAAGCTTTGAATCTAAGGATAGAGTAGGTCATGATGTAGGCAATGTTACCTCCGTCTTCATAATAGTAACTCTCTCCATAAGCATTGGCTCCAGAGGATTCTGGGATGTGTTTCTTTCGCTTTTTCTCTTCCTGTAACTCCTTTTCTTGCAAAAGGCGAGCTATGTCCTGCAAATAAAGAGAGAATGAAAATAAATATTAGCAAAACACAAACTCCATACAATGACCCCACAGGTCAATGATTCCACACTCCACTGCTAAGCTTTTGTAGGCGGGCTCTGTCTATGGTTCTGCAGACTTTCTGGTGTTAAACTCATGCAATTTAAATAGCACAAATGAATGTTCAACAGGAGAGGCACAAGATCCAGATGACAGAGAAAGGTATTTTTTAAAATTTAAACTTAATCTGAAGATATTCAAACGTAGTATACCAAAAGTTGGCTATACAACAAAAATTCGTATTTGTGAGCCCTTTTCCCAAGACAATGATTCAGCAAATCTGGGTGGGGAAGGATGCAGTAATCTATAAAACTTTATAAATTGTATTTATAATTTAATGTTAAGAGTTTTTGGCTAAAAAAAAAAGAGTTTTTGGCTGATCCTGTTTGAGCTCTGCATCAGAGTACCACTGTCTTAACTGAAAAAGAGAAAACAGTCTTCCTCCTGTCTCCCCTCTACTTCATCTCCAGGCAAGATTTAAACAATTACTGAATGATGAACAACATTCTAACCCTGTCCCCAAAATATTACCATCTCCCTAAAAAAAGAAAGGTGCATACAAATAACTACAAGTACATTATAAAACCTCAAAAGAAGGATAAAAATGTCTATGGGACTACAAAAAAGAGAATATTATTTCTCCTTAAAGGAATTAGTGCAAGTCTTTGCATCTGTGTTTAGTTTTGAACAAAGAACTGGATTCCAATAGGTAAAGTAAAAAGAGAGAGCATCATCAGCAAAATTATGTCTTAATGGATATTAATCTACAGAATGATCAATAGTCCAATTAGAATGTGAGTGTTGCAGAGAAAGGTAAGGCTAGAAAAAAATAGTCTAAGGCTGAATCACAGGCATTCCTTGAAGACAATTTTAAGAAGTCTGGAGTAGATAACGTAATAAATGAAGGGTTACTAAATGTTTTGAGCTGAAAAGTGACAGTGTTCTGAATCTGAAGATTATTTCTATGAAAGCCCCATAAAATAACACATAAACTTTGTTTGTGTACACTTTTTTGAAGAAAAGGTCCAGAGCTGTCACCAGACTCTTAAAGGCTCATACAAATATAGCAACAACACTCAATGGTGCAAACAGTAATAACAATGGTAGTTTGAGGTGCTTATTTCTTTGTATTTATAACAAGAAATACAGAAGTGCCTAAATGTTAGTGTAAATTTTGAAGAATCAATTACTATTCTTCCTTTTGCAATTTTCTGAATAAGTCAAAATGAAGAATATAGTAAGACTAGAAGACAAAAAAATGCCATTTAAATAATTTTTTTCACACAACAGTGTAGAAATAAGTTGGATGCTGAGACTGGATAAATTAGCAATGATTATCCAGATACTCAATATTTAATGTTCACCAAAATAGGCTTACAAATCTGACTTTATATTAAATAATGCCTAAATTCAAAGTTATAAATACACTATTGCCTTTATTTGAGTGCTACCTACACTGGAAGATTCTCATAAAACTGTGCGAAATATAAATAAGTACATATTTATATTTTGATAAATAATCTATATAAAAGCCCACGTTATAGTGTCAGACACTTGAGTGTGCACTCACAAAATGTTGCTACTCAGAATGAGAGGCAAAAAACACAATCCTACTTAACACACATCATTTTCATGCAAAGAAATGGTCCCTAAGTCTGAAGTTAAGATGATTTCCTTTTTCCTTCCAGTTCAAGCCAGAGATGTTCTAGAGACACTGTGAAAGAAATACTAACCACTAATATGAGTTTCTTTGGGCTTCAAGTCTTTATCTATACAATGAAGAGTTTGAACTACTCAATCTTAAAGTCAAATATCTTGACTCCCTTAGGTACCATTTTAATAAATCTCTGAGTATTACCAGGTACCAGCTGCCGTGCCAAGTTTATTACATTTGATGCCTTACAAAGCAATATGTCAATCGGAACAACAGAGAGGTGGGACAAACAACTTGTTCTCCCAAAGTTATCATCTGTTATAGGATTTCCAAAATTCCTATACTTTTTGCTTCAGAAGTAGGGAAAAATGCTAACAATTCCCTAAGTCATCATGTTTATTAAGCACCCAACACTACATTTTCCTAAGTGGTTTACTTTACAGAAAACAAAAAATTCCCCTTGCTATAACTGAGTAAAAAATATAAGGAATAATTATCAGCTCCAAATGTCAGCAGAAATTATTAAACTACACTCCATAGACACCTTATAATTGCTTTCCTACTACTGAACTTAGTCTTAAGAAATACATACTAATAAGTTGCTTTCTCAGTGTGAAAAGCCAGCAGAGAAACAAGGATGATGCCCCTTTACCACAACACATTAGCTAGTCAAAAGAAGTGATGTTAATCAAATAGAAAAAAATCATGTCTCATGCACCTTAGCACCCAAACTTTTTCCTTTTTTGAAGCTCTTGGCTCTCTGAGTAAGATTCTACCTGGTAAGAAAAAGATTACCTAAGCTTGAGGAGTGAAAGAATAAAAGTCAATGGAAAAATAACTGCTTTAATATAACAGTGGTTTAGCTTAAGTCAATTCTCCCCCGTGCTTTCCAACATTATTACTGTGCAATGAGTTCAACTGGGTGATTTCAATATAAAAAATTTCCCCTGAAACAAGCTTACAATGGCAACTATGAGTCACAATGCTTGGATGCGACATTAATAACCTCCTTGGTCTTCAGCTTCTTCCTGTTAAAGGTTAATCTAGAACAGGATTTCCAAGCTCTGTTCCTAAATACAGAGGACTCAAAAGGTTCTCCTAAAAAACTCAAAGCATTCCATGGAAAACAGGTATTATAGCTAACTTTTTAAAAAGAGCATTAGGATAATTTAAAACTTTGATAAAAGAGACCTGTTATCTTCCTATAATTCATGAATTTCTAAATTTACTTTGTGGAAGAAGCCTTTTTTTTTTACATAAAAATATAAACCTTATAGAATTAGTGTTCCATAAAACATAACTTGGGAAAACAAAGCTAAAATAACTCATAAGCCCTTCTGAAGTAATTTTCCATGATTTTTTTTGAAAAAATATATTTTTTGCTGAAAGGATTACAGATGTCCCTTTTTGTTTCCCCACTGATCCCCACCAACCCACACCCATTCTTCCCCAGGCCTTCACCACACTATTGTCTGTGTTCATGGGTTATGCATATATGCATATAACTTCTTTGGTTAATCTCTCACTATCCACCCTCCCACCCCCACCTTCCCTCTGAGACTCAAGAGTTTGCTCCATGCTTCTATGTCTCTGGATCTATTTTGTTCATCAGTTTTTTGGTGTTTTTTTTTAATTAATCATATTCATCAGGTAGATTTACTTTGGACTAACACATACAGAATAACTGTGATATAGAAGACTTTCTGGCCAAGCCATTTATTGGAATGACAATTTACCATTATATCTCATCTCTCCCCTTTTTGTTATCCAAGTCACCCAACTGGAAAATCTGAAGCTGTGAGCATAAGAAAGAGCACAGTAGAAAATCTCCAGAATGCTAAGAAAAGTCATTTTAATGAAAACAAAGATTTGCTGAACACCTTCAATGGGCCAAACATACTATTAGAAGCCTATAGAGAAACAAGACATGGTCACTTTCCTGAAAGTCCTTATCTATCAAGTATTAGAAGCAAATAATTACATAATGTAAGATGTGCAAAGATGAGTGCCCTAAGAGAGGCATTAATACAAGCAAGGTGCGTTGGATCCCACAGGAGCCTGGCACATTTTTCTCAAGCAGTTGACAAATTACTGAACCATGGTGTTGGATTCCTTAAGTATTTTTATGGTTTATATGATTTCATAACAGGGTTATTTCTCCTGGGGAAATCTTGGGTATAACAACAACCTAAAAGAGATCTAAAGTCGTGATAGTCAAATGACTGTCAGAAAGAAGAAGGAAAAAAAAGAAAGCCATTCCATTAGATTGCTGAGTTTTTTACCAACTAGCAATAACTTTACCATCTAACTCAGTAGGGAACTCATAGCAGGTATAATTCCAAAAGGGTTACTGTATAATACTAGGAAAACAAGATCATTTCAATTCTATGGATGCAAAAACATCAGTATAAATAGGATAAGAACAGAGAAGACTTTTTCTTAGCTAGAGTTTCCCATTCACTATCCCTTTATTGCTATATATATATATATATATATATATATAGTACCAAAACATAGGAAAAATTTTAGTAACTAAAATGTATTACTATTTGAGCTATTCTCTAAATATCACCAACTTATATAAAAATTCTTCTAGACCATGGAATTCTAATCAGTTAAAAAATGCTATGAAAAAAGTAGCATGGTCACACTCGATTAATTTTTAATGTAAATTGGTTACTAAATATGGACGAGCAGTGCATATTATAAATGATTTTAAATTGCTGGACTAGTGCCACAGACTTTTTATAACATGGTTGGCTATGTTGTTTACTTAAGAAAAAAAAGAAGTTTTTTTTTTTCTAACAGCCACATATATTTGGACTTGTTGGCTGTGAGAATGGCAACAGGTGTTAGACCGGTTGGGTCAGACCAAACCTGGGTTCAGCAACCATGGTATTTGAGCTCTGGCTAGGAAAGAATTCAGAGCCAAGACTCAATAAGAGAAAGTTTATCTGGAAAGTCACAGAGGTAGAAGTGAGTGGTACAAGCAATGTAGGAAACCAGTTACAGAGGCAAAAGAAGGGCACTTAGGGCTTAGGAATGAGAAGGATAAAGGTAACATGCCTGGGATAGGAGAAAGAGGAGAAAGACTAGGGTATGCTCTAGGTCCTCTGTCCTAAGAGCTTTAAGGGCAGAGGTTTTATGAGAAGTCTCAGGGGAGGATCCTGACACAATATTCACCAGCTTTCTAGATATGTCCTTCAGGGTCATGGTCTCCACTCATTGGTTGGCACCAAGATAGGGGGTCATTATCCAATGCAACTGGTCCCGAGGTCAGCCTGTGGGGACGCTTTTCTGTTTTTGCTGCTTTTCTGGGCCTCAATCAGAAACACAACTGAGGTCTACATGTATTTGATGTGGGTCAGAACCTTAATGCCCTGGGGGCTTAATGATTAAGGGCTATTTTCCCACCCCCTTAACCCTCATAACTAGCAACATGCCAGGGAAGGAAAGGTCAGGGGGGTCCAGACCGAATGACCAGCTATATGAAAGGTCAGTGGGTCTAAACCAGATGACCAGCGATAGGCTAGGGGAGGAAAGGTTACCCTGGGGGCGAGGTCTTTGTTTTCCCAGTTTTGCTCATTGCTAGGCACCTGGAGCTTTCCATCCTGGTGGTCTTCTATACCTGGCCCATCATCCTTGCTCTGTTCATGTCTAACTACAAACCTAAATTCAAAGACACATATATGTATTTCTATGGATAGTCTCTCTCTCTTTCTATCTCACACATACACATACAGATAGATACACACACACTTTCTCTCTTAGAGTTTTATTTAAGAATAAATAAGTTAAATGAACTAAATACACACTCCTTAGCCTTATTAAAGGGCACTGACAAATGCTTATGTTGTGATCAAGAGAGGGATCCCAGTGAAATTAGTCCAATTGTACTAATCGCAAACTAATGCAGTACGGTATTCCCAAAGGCTACGAGCCCTTTCAACAGGACACCTAGAAATACATGCAGATACTATATTTAAGACATTGTTAACAGTTTTTTTTTAAAGGAAGAAAGAAGGAAAGGAGGGAAGGAGAGAGGAGTAACGAGAGAAAAGAGGGGGAAAGGGAGAGGGAAGGAAAGCAGGGAGAGGCCACAGTGCTGATAAGAAAGGTTTTGCTGCTTTTCTGGGCCTCGATCTGAAGCACAACTGAGGTCTATATCTATTTGATGTGGGTCAGAACCTCATTGTCCTGGGGGCTTAATGATTAAGGGCTATTTTCCCACCCTCGTAACCCTCATAACCAGCAATATTTTCCTTTCCTTTTTTTTTTAAACTTTTCAACAGCTGTCTCCCTGAAAGGAAATGCTACTTTTCTTCATCTGTGCTCTGTTAAAATCATAATAAAATTATACCAGAACAAAGCTAGACATGCTGATTCACCCACAAAGTTGTATAACTCTTAATTCTCCTGCACAATGTTGTTCAGAAAAAGAAAATCTGTATCAAGAGTAAAGGGGCTTTGAATTCTACATCTGGTTGTTTTAGGAGATTTATAAAGTACCCAAGAAAGTTGACCCCAAAAATTTCTAAAAGAGATTTGGGTGAAAATTCAGAGAGGAATTTTCCACATCCCTGCTGTTGAATAAAAACTCATTAGCTAAGCAGACCGACCGGACTCTACAGGGAAGTAAAAAAAGGGGGAGTATGGGGGGTGGGGGGAGGAATTAAGACAGTTCATGACTAACAGGCAAGGCTTTTGGAATATTTGGCAGGAAAATGAGCACTACTGTCTCAGTCTCCTTTGTGAGCCAGCTTGGATGAAAATAAACCAATTAGCATTATCATACATCCTTCAAGGACAAACTTTATTAATGCAAATTTTGTTCATTTAATATTAACAACATACCTGTAAGCTGAGAGTCACATCTTTCTACCATAAAAGAAACCTAATCTAAGGCACCAGTTGAAAACTCAAAAAGTCTGAATGGAGTTTTTAAAGGCTAGCCTAGCTGAATCTCCACAACTGGGTTTCTCATTTAACCTCTCTGCTGTCCAGGGGCAGGGGAAACATTTCAGTAGGTCAAACAGTGGGGAAGGCAAGGTAGTGAGAGGCCTTTAAGGGCAAGAAAACTCCTGAAGATCCCTCAAACCTCAGCATATTGGAATATACTAAGCCTATATATTTGTCCCACTCTCTAACTTATCACATATCTCCACTAACTTATCCATATCCCTACAAGAGAAATCTGAGTTGTTTTAAAGAGCAGAATGGTGAGAAAAACACCTTGCAAGAAAGCAAAAAGAGCAATTATTAAATTAATATGTATCGAAGGTCTTTTGTACATGATCTCATTTAAACCTCATAACAGCTCTTTAAATTATGCATAACTATCATGACTTTTCCAATACAGAACCTGAGTTTCTACACGTTTAAGAAAGATACTGAAACTCAAGGCTAAAAGTTAAACAGCTAAGATTCAAACCCAGGGCAGTTAACTTCAAAGTCTACATGTTTTATGTCATGTCACAATATAGCTAAGTCAGAAGCTGTCAGTCAAATCTGTATTGTATGTACAACCATTTCTCTGGTACCTTATTACAGCTTGGGACCAGTCACTTTCTTCTTCAAGTCAACTTCTACATCTGAAAAATGAACTCTTTCACTACACTGCTTACTTTATATATATTACCATCGGGTTATTTATTGAGATTGCTACTTAGATTCTACATGCGTAAAAGAAAGTGTTTTGGTTTCTCCTTATATTCATTTGTCCCTGAATGAGGCAGGGGTGGGGAGGAGAATCACAGGACACCAGTAGCATTTATCAGAAGCAAGCTATTACTCTGTTATTTTTAAAAAGCTTTCCTGTCTACAAAATATAATCACTTCTTTCAGTTCCCAGTTTATTCCCAAAGCAAAGTCTTGACTATAGAGAAGCAACACATTTTGCAGGAAGAAAGAGCTCCTGTGCTGATAACAGGAAGGATAAGAGGCAATCCCTAATTCCTACTTCCAGTTCGGATGACCACAGAATCGTGGTTTATTTCTTAAAGATACAGCTAAATACACTCATACAGTGAGTGTCCCATACTCATCTGTCAATGAACAAACAGTTCTATGGGAACCAGGATGGCTCAGTGAGAGTAGCAGTGTGTACAGACTAGTATACTGGTGACCCTGCCCATATCTACTTAATAGGGCAATCATATGTGCCAGTTAGCTGAGGGCAATTCCAGATTATGTAAATTATTAATAGTGCCCCCTTTAACCCTACAAAGTATTTATAATTATATAATAAATCATATGACCATTATATTATTAAAAATGATAAATCATTTTATTATAAATCAAGATAGTGGCCGAGAACAGCATAATAGGTATGAAAAGAAATTAACAAATGCAGAAAACATAACACAAATGCAGGTAATAGTTGCATATTCAAATCTTTAAAACAAATACTATTGCTAATTTTAGGCATTTTGGGCTTTAAAAACAATACAATTTAAAAATATATACACAATCAAACAGATCAGTGCTTTGAGTCAGCGTATCATAGGGAAGTGAAACAATTAACAAAAAAGAGAGAGCAATGATTGCTCCTGACCCCTGCTCAGGCCACACTTAAGTTCTGCTCACATTAAAGTTGTGGGAATGCTCTATAGACAGACATCCTGTATTGGGTTGAATAGAGTCCCCTAAAAGTTCATTTCTAACAAGGACCTCGTAATGTGACCTTATTTAGAAATAAGGTCTTTGAGGGTGTAATTAGTTAAGAGGAGTCACATTTGATTGGGGTAGGTCCTCAACCTAACGATGTCCTTATAAGAAAACAGAGGACACAAAGATACAAGGAAGAAGGCCATGTGACAATGGAGGGAGAGACTGAAGTGATGCAGCGACGAGCCAAGGAATGCCAAAGGCTGTCAGGAGCCACCAGAAGCTAGGACATGGCAAAGAAAGATCTTTCCTGATAGCTAGCATAGCCCTGCCAACATCCTGATTTCAATTTCTAGCCTCTAAAACTGCAAGAGAATAAATTCGTCTTGTTTCAAGTCACCAGGTCTGTGGTAATTTGTTACAGCAGCCCTAGGAAACTAACTAATCATGTTTTCAGATTTCACTACATGCAACTGATCGGTGGGCAATAAACAATGGCAGCGCTTGGACTATGAACCCAAAAGAGGAGAGTTCTACTGCCCATGCTGCCCATGCAGCAGCCGTAGAACACAGAAAGGAACTGCTCCAGAGCTGAGCAGTCCTTCCTCCATTGGGTGGAGGGGCATTAACCAACCTCATCCTTCTTCTCCTGAATGCGTCGTCTCTCTGCCTCAATAGCCAGCTTTTCCTGGATTTCCTGAGCAATTTCACAGTCCTGTTGTTCACTAAAAAACAAAAGTCAAAACAACATGAGTAAAGAAAATAAGAAACAATGTACTGACTACTCACTATGAGCCAGTCCACATTTTTATCTCAATCCTCACAACATGTTGCAGAGCTTGATGTTGTCACCACTCACAGATGAAGAACTTGAGGCCAAAGTAATGAAATTACCTCCCCGAGGTCACAGAGAAACTAAGTGAAAATTTGATCCGGACACTACAATGGAAAGCCCCATGCTTTTACCATACTACCATATCACCTCACTCCACTGGGACCACCTACAGAGAGACAGGCATGTTTTCCGCAAAGGCATGTTTTCTGTAAGATCAATCTCCACAAATACGTAGAGAGTACACAGAAAAACACTGAGAGTGAGATCACTCAATGTCAACAATACTGTGATCACCTAGGGGGGGTAGTATGACTTTGGTGTTTATAAATTTTTAATTGTATATATTTTTTTGTTTTGATAATGTTTTTAAAAAGGGAAAACATGTATATTCCCCAGCTTCGATTCCCAGTAGAAACCTCTCTGGCTGATTCTAGCTTATTTAATACTCTGGCCACTGAGACAACTGCTGTTACCATAGTTTTGTTTGTTTTGGCATGTGGGCATTTAACAAAGATTTAAACATACTATTTTCTATATGCAGATTCTATGCTCAACACTGAGGATACAAAAATGAGTTAGTCTTGCTCCTATGCTCAGAAGCTGCTAATACACTTTTGGTTGGAGAAACAGATTCTTTAAAACAGCACCCATAAAACAGTTCTAACAGAAAATTGAGTTTGGATCTCTCAGAAATGGCTACAAGTCTTCTGGCTTCAGGTTTCAAGAAAAACCAATGGGCAGCTTAAAACTCCAGAACAGGATAGATCTGGGGAGCCAACTTTTACACAGTATTAGCTCAGAAAGATGAACATACATGCTTAGAGTTTACTATCTAAAAAAATGCTGAAATAATTACAATAGTGACTTATGTAAGTACTTTGTTTGCTAAACAAATATATCTTCTTAGTTCTCCCTCAGCCAGTTGACCTTAAAATACTCGAGGAATCTTCAGTGTTGGCTGTATAATATGGTTTTTAATTGAGTTTATAGGAGTGACATTGATTAATAAGATTATATAGGTTTCAGGTATACAATTCTATAATACGTCACCTATATATTGTATTGTGTGTCCACCACCGCAAGTCAAGTCTCCTTCCAGCACCATTTACCCCCCCCAAATCCTCTTTTACCTACCACCCCCACTGTACAATCTGTTTAATGGCAGTCTTTTGTAATTGAAAAGTGCTGTGGGGATAGAGGAGAGTGGCAATATCCTAACTTTTCTATACAAAACTGAGGGATAAAATAATTAAAATTATTCTCATTTGCACAAGGGAACAGTCACTCTCAACACATTTAGAAATAGGTAGATGTAGGTGAAAATAGATGTGTGCACACATAGGAGTGATTAGGCACACATGACAGAAAGTGAGAATACAAGATAGAGAGCACAGATCAGAGATGCAAATCTTTCTCAGAATCAGGGGGAAAAGCACTGGACAAAATGTCTTCAGACCAGATTTCTGGTCCTCCCGCTCCTGTCACCTAATCAGCTATAAAAGATTTTGGACTTAATGACTTCATATTTCTGGCCGTATATTCTAGGATTTGTAATCTTCCAAACCAAAAAACTGAAAATAACTGAAAATAAGCAAAAAATCTACTTAGAATAATGTTTACTTATACTTAGAGCCTCCTTTCATTCACTCACTTCTAGTAATTAAGGATCATACACAAAATCATAGTTTTCAAAGACTATGCTACCTGGATCTTCCAAATTAACATAAAATCTGATTAGGAGTAAGCAACTATGACCTACACATAAGGTGATAACAGATGGGAAGAAAGCAGGACACAGTAGAGAAGGCAAATCCAAATGAAGTGCTAAAGGTCACAAGGGTCATAGAAGATGAATGTCCTAGTATAGAAAAGAAAGAAATGAAGTTTAAGTTGAGCTTCATGATTTTAAATCAGTTCTACTTTACTTAGCTAATTGTATAGACTCCTGAGGAAGCAAAATCCAGTGAGGAAAGAGTAGTCAACACATAAACTGATGAACAAAAACAGATCTAGAGACAGAGAAGCATCGATAAGATGCTCAAACCTCAGAAGGAAGGTAGGGGAAGGTGGGGGGGAAGGGGGAGAGATCAACCAAAGGATTTGTATGCATGCATATAAGCATAACCAATGGACACAGACACCAGGGGGGTGATGGCATGAGTTGGGGGTGCGGGGGCAATGGGGGGATAAGGACACATATGTAATACCTTAATCAATAAAGAAAGAAAAAAGAGTAGTTAACAATCTTCTCAAGCCTGACTTTGGACAGGAACCCTGGGATCCAGAATGAGTGGAAGGTTCTAATTCCTTCAAATCTAAGTATGTAATCCTCCTCTTGATGTTCAGCAGTCAAGACTGCCAGGATGTGAAAAATCAAAAAACTTCATTTCTAACTTACTTATTTCAGCCAAGAATACCTCCAAACTCCTGAAGTCTCAGGCAGGAATATAATACCCGGTTCTCCTCTCATTTAGGACCTATAACCCATCACTCACCAGATTTGATCTGTATTTTACAGCGGTTTGTCTCGATCATCTCTCAACAACCTCATTATACTCACTATCACTACCCTCATTCAGGATATTAAACTTCCGCATCAACATAGGAACTGGCTTTCATAACAGAGAATTGTGAATAATGTAAAAGGCAATGATTTATTCTTGAATAGTCTACCTCTGGCTCTCACCTTTACTGGGTTTGTGACACCAAACCTCCATACATCTCAAATCTCTCTCTTCTAACTCCATTAACATTTAGGTTCTATGATATCACTCCCCTCTGCATCTGTATTGCCCACTATCCTCCATTCAAGTCTCACCATCTCTTATTTATTATTTATTTATTTTCTTTTTGTTATCTTTAATTTCTTTATTGGTTAAGGTTTGACATATGTGTCCTTATCCCCCCATTGCCCCACCACCTACCCCAGTGTCTGTGTCCATTGGTTATGCTTATATGCATGCATACAAGTCCTCTGGTTGATCTCTCCCCTTTCTCCCACCCTCTGTGCCTTCCCTCTGAGGTTTGATGGTCTGATTGATGCTTTTGACCACTGCTGAATAGCTCCCTTCAATCTTGCCACCTCTATTCCTTTACCTTCCCAGTCCCCAGAGTAAGTCCCTAAATGAAAATTCTAAAACTCCAACAGTTAGTTCTCTATTACTTATAAAATCTATGAAACCTAAATTCCTTAACATAACTTATGTGACCTTTTGGTCCAGCGTTTGAGTACTCTCCGGCCTCATCTCCTACCTAATCGTACCCCCCACTGCAGCAATACTGATCATCTTACAGCTACCATGCGATCCCAGGTCCTTTTACCTCTTACCTTTATGCATGCTTCCCCCTCTGGCTAGAATGGTTTTCCTCAATTATCAATATAAACTCCTAATTAATCATCAAGGTTCAGATTAAATATATCACCTATGTTGGGACAGTTTTCTCAATCTCTTCTCTCTTCATAAGCATGAAATTGACTGTTCAATTATATGTGCTTCATGCATGTACCTGTACATATAAAGTGTTCAGAATATGTTCCTAAGGCCATTAAAGGCAGTGATTATGTTTCTTCACATCTGTGGTCTCCAGTGCCTTTCATGGTATCAGGGATAGCAAGAGTCAATAAGAATGTTTATTTACAAAAGATGGAAGCTGAACAAAAAAATGATGAAGTTCTGTCTACCGATAATAAAATATAAAGTCAAACCTTTCCTCAAAGGCAGCAAAAATAACAGGCTCTCTTGTTTATATGAACATGACAACTAAAAAAAAAAACTGAGGGGTCCCTTTGATCTCCCTTTACCCCTTCTCCTCAAAACAATATCTAATAGTTAAATCCACTCTTAGAGATTTAGGTATTAGAGCTACTCTCAAAGAAGAAATGTACCCTGGGAGTTTTAGAGCATTGAAAATAAAAAGTAATTGTACCGTAAGAGAACTTAGATATGATCTTTTCATATCTAACTGTAAAAAAGGAGACTGAAAAAGAATGTTTGTCAGACACTGAAGCTATGGAGAGAACTGAGTGCACAATTCAGAGCTTTCCAGAAGATTCTTCCTGGATCTGAAAAGTAAGGGGTTTGAGGAAAATAAGAGCAGCAAACCCTGATAGGACATAGTAAAGGAACCCAATACAAGTCATGAAGTTCTATCACATACAGTGTTTCACTGGATTCCCCCAGACAACCAACCTGTGAGGCAGAGATCATCTTTTCCCATCTTGTACAGAAGAAAAATAGGTGGACCACATTTCTCCAAGTCATACCGTGAAAATGCTAAGAGTTCATTCACACCAGAATGCACACATCCCTAAACCAAGTCAATGTTCCAAAAACAAAGTTTTCAAATCAAAGAAAAGGATACACACACACACACACACACATGTTCACACGTGCACACACACGTGCACTCACACACACAAATTTTTTAAATCTAACAGTGACAGGAATGAGAGGAACAGAAGTGGAGTCTCCTCCTCCCCTGCCCTGGTTGCTGGCTCCACAGAGGAAACCAGTAAACCAGTCCTGGCATGATTCCCTCCACTCCCCAGAATCCTCACAGGTCTTTGTAGCGCTTCTGAAGCTGAGCCTGCGCTTTCAGATCTTCCTCTTGGAGTTGCTTAGCCACCCGGAGATCATGCTGGACCAAACGGTTCCGCTGAATGTTTGATGCCAAATGATGCTCAACTGGACAGAAAGATGGAGGAGAGGAATTACAATGCTTTGGCTTGTTAACAATAAACTTCCTAATAAACTTAAAAAGAGCTTTTCCATTAAAGAGCTTCGTACCCATCACTTTATTGTATGCTCTCAGTAATGCCGGTTAATAGGCAGCACAGGAATTATTATCCCCATCTTTCCATTAAGTAAAAAGAGGGTCAGAAAGGTTAAGTCACTTGCCTTTGGTCACATGGCAAAACAGTGGCAGTGTCAGGACTTCTACACAAATATTCGAAAGCCAGGGCCAGTGCTCTCTCTGCTCCACAAGCTATCACTCTACTTATAAACTACATTTTTCAATACTTACTTTTATATTGCCACACCAATTAATGATTCACAAATTACATATTCATAAATATGTACTTTTGCACAACACATACAGCTTCGATTTATTTTTCATAGTTATATACTTAAATATTCAGAAAAATCCACAGTCTAGATACCTTCATTGCCTGGAAAAAGACCTTTGCCTTTATTCCTAGGGGAAGAAATAGCTCCCTAAGCCAGACTTCTACACACCCCAAATCCAGGTGTGGACAAAAAAGGGGCCACATACTAAACCTGATAAGCTCAGGGAGGGCCTGCGTGGTGGATGTAACTACAAAGGATGGTCTGCAACTGAACTCACGTTCTTAACTAAAAGTGAGTGATGACTGCTAGTCATGTCCTAGGCCAGTATCTTCCCTGACAAAGATCAATCTTTACTTTAAGCCTGTCTACTGACTTTTTGCATCTGAGATAACATACCTTTGAAATGTCAGAGTAACTCCCCTTTACCAGAGCAGAAGACCACAAAACCCCTTGTTATCTTATTCCCCTGCATACCATCTCTATGTGCTGCAAAGTTAATTAGTAACTATCCTGTACCCATCAATGTAAAAGAAATATGTGTGTCTCCATTTTACTCTTTATCTGATCACAGCAGTTTCCTTGATTTGCTTTCTCCTGCCTCCCTAAACTAACATCAATAGATTTCATGTAACCCTCCCTATGCTTCCTCCTTTGACTATAATGTATAAAATAAACTGCAAAACAGCCATTTTCTGGAGCATTTTTTTTCAATATGTTGAGATTTTGCTTCTGGGCAATTGTCAGTTTGGCTCAAATAAACTCATAAAACTTCTCTACAGGTTTCTCACGTTGACACATGTATAACCAGTCCCTCTTACAACACACTAAGGTTTTGAGGCCCTCTTTTCCTCCAATGTACCCACAGTCATCTAACACCTGGCAGCTGTCATACTTCAAAATACCCAGAACGTCATGCTTCAACCCAGGTGTCCTGGGCCTAGACAAATCGCTCGGAGGGAAGGATGGTGCAGCCTGCAGCCTGGTGACTGTTCTCTCTCTGACTCACTCTAAGACACCTGCCTCGAGCTACTACTATAAAAAACAAAAACAGAAGGAGCAGGGATGAGGGCTATTACTCACTCTCCTGTTCCTGCAGGCTGTGGGCCAGGGTGTGGTCCTCCAGGACAGCGAAATCTCGACACACTGCAGAGGATGAGAGAGAAAGGCAGATAGGAAAGCTCATTAGTAATATTGCAACATAAAAAGAAAAGCATGTTCTTTACTTCAAAAGTCAATTCTCATATTTAAGATGATCAACTTTATAACTTGCACTGCACAAAATAGTGACTAGTTAGCACAGTCTTCTTTCACACAAAAAAACCCACGTAAGTACCTGCGCAGTGACAAGCACAGGGTATCACAAAATAATGGTTAGTTCTGGTCCCTGGCCTAAAGATATTAACCACAGAATCAGAACCCCGATGTCAGGAAATTCCAATAGACAAGAATGTTTTGCATATTGCAGCTGATAGAAAACTGAGTTGTCACGTGGTCAGAAGAGCTAAATAAACCTTGGCCAATGCTTCAGCCACTTGGGGTCCAGAGGATCCTCTCCCACAGACTTATGTCTATCCTGGTGTCATTAGGAAAAACATACCTTCATCAGTCCCTCTGGTAGCAGCAGATCTCTACTTTAAGGATAATCACATTCTTTAATAGGTCCACACCCTTAGACATGAGTTAGAACTAGTTCTCTAGATCTCTCTAAAGGTAATTGTCTAAAAAGAATTTGCAAACCAAAAGAAAATGGGAACCTCAGAGTATACCAGAATCCTGCCCCTAACTTTGGAGATCCAGGCAAAGCATTTGCTGACCTATTTTCTTAGAAGCAAATGAGAAGAGAGAGTCTCCAAGGTCCATTCTACCCCAAATTGCAATTTGAACTCCTGCTTCTTAAAGCAAACATACAGGCAGGACTCATGAAAAGTGATGTTCTGTTTGTTTGTCTTAAGGATGTGTAGTTTAGGTGATATGTCTTTACTCTATTCCAAATGTGTAACTGACATTAAAAAAGAAAATTCCCCAAAGCCTCAGACTACTGTAATGTGTAGGACTTATAAAAATGTCCCCTAGGGCTTACCAGAGGTTATAGATGTCTTTCTACAGCTTTGGATTTGCCTGTAAGGACATTTAACTGAAATGAAGAAACACTCCTTTGTCATGCTTAGCACTATGTATGTGTACTACATACATTCATACAGCCCTGGCCCTTACTGCAACAAAAAAGTAGGCAGAGCTTAGAGAAGTCAAAGTTAGTCTCAAATGGTTTTATGATGGAGGAATCATTTTTCCCCCAAAACCATATTAAGTTGAATATTACCTTAGCAACTGCAAAACCAGTAATTCCAATAGGAAGTCCTGATTAGATATATTCTCACCAAACTCGAACTTGAGGCCCAGATGTATTACCCAATACCTCATAGGATGAAAGTGCTTACAAGATAAACTGGTTAACTCTCCCATTTAGTAGGTGGGAAAGATTAGGGCTAGAAGGAAGAAGGAGCTTATTAATGCTATAAAGTGTGTTGGTAATAGGACTGGGAGTCCTTTTCTGAGCCAACCAGCATTCTTTCCTTCCCTAACACATGACACCCTCCTGGCCTCCAGGGAAACCATGGTGGGAATAGACTGAAAGAAGTTATTCTACACTAACCAACATGAATTCTCTAAAACATTTAGCTCATTAACATTAATTAAATGGCTAGAATATGTATGGATTTAGTTCATAGAAAACCAATATTCAGAATGAATTAGCTAAAGTTACATCTTGTGCAAAAGGATGCTATTTTAATATATGGTCTTATTATTTGAAGCACTTTTATTATACAACAAAGGCTTATGTTTATATATTATAGTATTACTTTTAGATTAACTAAGATTATATTAATTTTAGAATAACCTTATTATTTTTCAAACCATGGGCAGGAACCTATTATTAAGTCAGAAAATCAGTTTACTAAGTCTGGGACAAGCATTTAGAAATGGGTAGGCTAGAAAATAGAGGATATCACACATCTACAGGAAACTACGGTTTGAAGAAACACTTTCAGTTGTATACACACGTTTGTATGAAATGTATTATGCCACAATGTAAAATATACATCACTGAGGATTACACTCAAATAGTTTAAAAGTCACTTCAATTTATGTTATTGGGGAAGAAAGTTACACTAGAAAAATGTATTTTATATGTTTTTAATGTGTTGACTAAAATTAAAAATTATAAAATTACTGCAGTTTTCCATGGGATAACCATGTGAAGAACTACAATAACTTTATATTTATTTTACTCAGCACAGCATTAAAAACAATGTTGTGCAGTACGCCTGGGGGGCAGGGGAAGGGGACAGGCGGGAGGGGGTCCGAGGAGGAAGAAAAGGGGGACATATGTAATACTTTGAACAATAAAGGTAATTTTTTTAAAAAATGATAATGTCATAAAAAACACAATGTTTACGGATACACATACCTGAAGTAAAAATATGGATTTTTTAATATATGGCACTGACATAAACTGAATTTAGAATAGTGGTTACCTCTAGAGAAAAGCAAAGGGGCAGGAGTGCCTTCGCTAGATAAGGTATTCTGCTGCTTTATAAATGAGGAGAGAAGGTTGAAGCAAATAAGGTAAAATAGTAACATCTATTAAATTTAGGCAATAAGTTCCTGGGTTTCTACATTAACTGTCCTTTTTGTAATGTTTTATGTTTATACCAGAGGCCCGGTGCATGAAATTCGTGCATGGGAGGGGTGTCCCTCAGCCCGGCCTGCACCCTCTTGCAATCCAGGACCCCTTGGGTAGGATCCCTAGGCCTGGTTAGTAATCAGGGCCTATAGGGGCTTTCCTTCTCCCAGCTGCCGGCAGCTGGCCCTACCCCGCGACTGCCACTGCTTGCCGTCTGTGTGGTGCTGCCCCCACCCCCCCACCACTGGTCGCCTCCCTCTGCAGGTGACAGGCATGGGGTGCGATAGCTTGGCTGGCCTGGGCCTCCCACTGCAGGGCGATCATGGGCCATGGCAGGCCCCCTGACCAATCGCATTGCACCCGCCTTGGCTGGCCTGCCGCCAGTGCGTGTCATAGCATGGTCGTCTGGAAGGTCATCCAGATGGTCGTTCTGCTGTTTGGTTGATATTCATATTACACTTTTATTATTATAGATACATCACATTTTTAATTATATAATTAAATATTATATTTTTTAAATCCACATCTTTTATTTCATCAGCAGCATATATTTAAGATGCTTGACAAATCATCAACAGGTTCAAGGAATTTATATATTACAAATTAACCTTAACAATAACTCTTCTTAATTTCCTAACATTTAAATATTAAGATTAAAGTATATTCAATTACTGTGATTTGACCCTGAATTCTCTTACAACAGCAGCTGAATTGGTATCCACAAAATATGGGTTGGCCTGGGCTAGAAGGCAAGGTAGAAAATATTCAAAAGCTACATGGAAGCATACACACTCACACAGAGAGTGGTATTGTTAGTACAGGGACTTAGCACTGCAGAGTAAATAAGAACTTCCAAATATATAATCTCATTTATACTGATATTTTATTTGTTCAATCTACAATTTCTTCTGCATGGCTCTAGTTCCTTTCCAGATATAGCTCTGCATTCTCTGCATCACTACTCTAATGTGAGCTGGAAAAGTCACACATCCACCCACCTCTGTAAAATAGTAACCAGACTGGGAGTTACTGAACACATTTCACAGCCAGGCCAAGTTCAGACCCTGATGTTTGCTTCTTTTCTAATCTACTCTACTTTGAAGTAAACAGTATAAATAGCATAAACTCATCTCTCAACCTAAGATAAACCACTAGGCCCTGGGCTTTCACCCTCCCACTTCCCAAGCTTTCCTTCCTGTGTGCAATTCCACTTACTCCAATCTCAGGCTCATTTTGCGATTAAGGGAACCACATCCAGCCCTCAATGGTCCTGTAGCCTCTTCCTTCCTACCCAAACATTTTCCCCAAAGTTAGAGCATGGTGGGGCTAAGTCTATTTTGCACCATTAAAACCATGTAACTCTGCCTCCTTGTTTAGAAAATCATCAACACTTTATCATTGATAAAGATGCACACTTTATCATTCAACTCAGCACACAGCTGCCCCCCATCCAGTTGCAAACTCTTCAGGGCAGGGCCCTGTGGGCCTAATTTCTGTACCACAGTTAGGACTGAAGCAGTCGCGACCCCTTTTGGGGTCGAACGACCCTTTCACAGGGGTCGCCTAAATACATCCTGCATATCAGATATTTGCATTACGATTCATAACAGTAGCAAAATTACAGTTATGAAGTAGTAACGAAAATAATTTTATGGTTGGGGGTCACCACAACATGAGGAACTGTATTAAAGGGTCGCGGCATTAGGAAAGTTGAGAACCACTGGAATAGAGGATATAGAAACATTTTCAGAGATGCACATTGATTGGAAAAAAGAAAAAACAAAACAAAGAAAAACTGGTGGTTAAGGTCAAAGAACAGTAAGAGTCCCATAGACAAAGAAAATAAACAATATTGTGAACAGAATTAAGTTCTGCCCTTGCAATGGCATCACAGAGACGAGCAAAAGTTTTCAAACATCATTTAAATAACAATTAGAAACCGCCTTTATTCCCATTAAAAGACATACCGCTTTAGTGGGCTTTTTAAATCCAAATACGTACATATAAATAGTAATTTAGTTTACATTAAGCCAAGCACGTTTCAGGAATGAAAACTGGGATTTTATATATAGATAGGTATAGATATATTATCTTTCTACACAGACACACACACACACACACACACACACACACACCAGCCATTTTCCTTGAAGAAAAAGATGATTTTTGTTCTCTATGGATCCCCCTAAATAAATGGCATAGTGTGCACCTACTAAACACATTTATTCACCAAGCATTTACAAAGCACTATTTTTGGATGAGTAAATCACTTCCAAGACATTAAGGAAGTGGAGATGACAAAAAGACAAATAAGACTATAATTTAATAAATGTTATAAAGACCTATAGAAAACTCTTTAAAGGTATAAACAGTGGAGCAGCTATGCTTTTATGACTTGGAGGTAGGTTAAGGAGTGGGGGTGACTTGGGCAGAGCATATTAGGACACCTGAAAGAGTT